TCCTCTGCATGGTATTTTTACTTACATATGCCGTCAATTCTATTCAGATTTGATGTTACTTAAATTTAAATGAAAATTGCTTTTGGATGATAGATGAAAAGAAGAGACATAAACTTCTCAAAAGTTGGGCACTTCATTGGTGGGATTTCACAAATCAACCAATTGATGAGATTTATTCTTATTATGGGGCAAAGGTGCCTATAACTCTGAGCTATAGAAAAAGTGATTTGAAAATGACGTTGTCATCATTTAATGAAGGAATTACTCACATGCAGATTGCTATCTATTTTGCCTTCCTTGGAATGTACACACGGTGGCTGCTCTTCCTAGCTGTGTTTGGTCTTGTTTTGGGGTTCGTTGATTTTGGGTAGGTCAACTTGTCTTTTGTGTTTATTTATGGCTGCTTCTTTCCTTGTCCTTCTAACAAAGGATTAGTTTTTGCTAAAACTATGTGACTTGATGTCTTTTAGGTCATTGCAATTAGTAGTTCTACCCATTTTCTTTGTCATGGTGATACTTTGGGCTGTAATGTTTTGTCAGTTCTGGAAACGTAAAAATTGTGCCCTACTAGCCAGGTATATCTTATTGTGTTTGTGACCATATATACTTTTCTATATGCTTCATTCCCCTACTAAGGTTTTCTTTTTGACCTCTCTCCCTCCCCACCGGTGCTTTCTATTTTTTGATTGGGTTTTGTAGATGGTCTATTGACTCATCAGTTACAGCAGACCAAGGATGTAAGATTCCAGGCGGCAAGGGAATTTCCCTGCAGCTAACAAATGAACACATAAAATTATTAGAGACTGATAAAATGAAGGAGAAGGAAGTATTCCAGAGATATGAGTGGTTTGGCCGACTCTTACGATTTAGAAATGATGCCATTATAATCATCAGCATAATTTGCCTCCAGTTACCATTTGAGTTGGCTTATGCCCATCTTTATGAAGTTGTTGATTCTGATGTAATTAAGTAAGAATCTGAGATTTTTCTCTTGAACTTCTATTTTCTAGTGTTAAGCGAATGTTTTGTACCTCCTGCCTCTGTCAAGTTCTCAATATTTGTCAAGTGTTAAATGCAATACAACATTTAGAAACTAGTACTTTAGATGGCACTTGTAGAATAATAAAGACTGTTTATACTAACCAATAGTCTGTAATTTGGTGCTAGATGTCTTTTTGACTGTCTAATGTAAGTTAACTTTTGTTCATTTAAATGATACATTGGTACTTATTTTAATGTTTGGGGTTTCAGGTTCGGGCTTACTGCTCTTTATCTTCTTGCCATTCAGTATATTACTCAATTTTGTGGCAAGGTATCTGTCATGCTCATCAAGTATGAGAACAATGAAAACACTGAAAAAGGGGCTGACAGCTTGGTCTACAAGGTAATTATTGTGAGTCAGTTGATCCCTTCCGGCTCTTATTCCTACCACACTTGGCAATTAAGGGGATTGCTTTATTCTGCAGGTGTTTGGTCTTTACTTCATGCAGACATATATTGGTATTTTCTATCATGCTCTCTTGCATCGGAACTTCTTGACACTTCGTAAAGTGTTAGTTCAGCGGCTCCTTTTGTCTGAGGTCACACACACAAGTTTTTCATTTGATTTTTCTATCTTCTTTCCTTGTTATGCCCCCCCCCCAAAAAAAAAAAAAAAAAAAAAACCTCCCCCCCGGTCCCTCTCTTTTCCCCCACTTAAACTTTATAGCTGAAACAGAGGACATTTTCCAGGTATTGGAAAACTTGTTGGAAAACACACTGCCTTATTTTAAATATAGCTACAAAAAATACTGGGTTCGGTAAGCCTTTGTATCCCTTGCTTGTGGAATTTGCTGGATTTATTTCATTGACCACAGCTTATTTGTCTTTCATTTCTGAAGACACAAGAAGAAAAAAGAGAAAGGAGAAATGACAGGGAGAATCCAGTTTACTCATAGAGCAGAGAAAGAATATCTTAAGCCTGCTTATAAAGCCAGCATCAGTGAGGAGCTTGAAGATGGGCTATTTGATGGTACTTTCAAATCCGTCAGACCTACAAATTTATGATATTGACTTCTGAAACAGTTGAAATGGAAGTTATACATTCAGATCCACAATAAAGCTGTAATTGTTACAGTTGTACATTTCTTTAATGAGAATTGATTTCCCAATGGACTGTGGAAATCCAGTAAAAGGAACTGCTTAGTCCATTATAAACATTTGGCTTAAATGGCTTGAGGAAACATGCATGTAGGAAGCTTCATTTCTTGTAGCCTTGATTGGAAGACTAGAAAGCAAAAAGTGACTCTTACATTGTATTGACGATTTCGAACCTGGTTGCAGATTTCTTGGAGTTGGCATTGCAGTTTGGGATGATTATGATGTTTGCTTGTGCATTCCCCCCAGCATTTGCTTTTGCCACCGTGGTACGAGTTCCTTTGCTTAGCTTCTTTGCCATTAAACATTAAATTTTTCATAATTAGCTTTTATGTAGTTAATAACAACTAAACTCCTTAATTGTTCAGAACAACCTCATGGAAATCAGAACAGATGCTTTAAAGCTGCTAGCAATACTGAGGCGACCTGTTCCTCGTGCTGCTGCAACAGTTGGAGCTTGGCTTAACATATTTCAGGTATCTATGTTCAGGGCCTCATAATTGATGTTGGCCTAGTTATATGAATGAGCAGAACCACTTCTTAATATGTGAACGTTAGCACTCTATATAAATCAGGTGTGTGATGTAAAAATGTTGAGGCTTTAAAATTTAAATTATGACCATGACTTATCATGATGTTTGTTTCTAATATTTGTTCCATTTTATTTATCACACTTATGTGTGGTTGGCTTTCGTTTTACAGTTTCTCATAGTGATGTCTATCTGCACCAACTGTGCACTTCTAGTATGGCTATATGATCAGGAGGGAAAATGGAGTATAGAGCCTGGGCTAGCTGCCATTTTAGTTATGGAACATGTCCTCCTCCTGATTAAGTTTGGCTTCTCTCGCTTGGTTCCTGAGGTGAGCTCATCCGATTATAAGTGACCGTTTCAATTAAAAAATTTAACTTTACCATCCCTAGCACTCAACCACGAGTTTTTTTTGATAGCAAGGATTGAGCTATTGACTACTTAGTGGTATAGGCTTTGATAAACATCTGCTTTAGATGGATTTTTAATCCGAAAAAGTGAAATTATAATAACATCCATTCTCCGGTCGTTGGATTCTTTCTTTTGGAAGTCATTTTGTCCAATTTCAAAATTTAGTTTGAGATAAATGATCACAGGAGAGGATTGTTTTCTGTGCAGGAGCCTGCTTGGGTCAAAGCAAACCGTGCGAAATATGCAACACAGGCACAAGATATGTGTTCTAAGAAGCTTTTGAGGACAATTTCTGGGGAGATGGCTTTGGTGAGTCGAGAAAGTTGCAGTGAATCATAAGGACTGTTTTTTTATACCACTCACTTGATCTTTTAAGTCCACTTAAATAAAAGAAAAGTTATGTGGCTGGCTTTTGTATATGAAAAGAAGAAAATCTGCTTCAATTCATATTTTGTCTTTCCCACTTGTGTGTGGGTACAAAAACCTCACTAAGATTAGTTTAGTATTTCTTTGAAGTGTGAATATGGAAATTATAGTTCAATCTTGACTATAGAGGTTCGTCAAACTATCCAGAGTGATGTGAATTTTCCCGGGAATTGTTATTCATTGCTGCACCAGTCTAAATTTTGACAAAGCAGTTGTATAAATGAGATCTTGACTATATTTAAGGTGTATTTTATGTTTCCGTGAGAAGAGTAGCTTTTTGACGTGCTTGCAAATGGAAGTATTTATAAAAGTATTATTTATTTCCTTTGAGTAAATCAGGTTCCTTGTTTAATTTCTCGGCCAATGACTATCTTAAGACGTGAATTACAATTTTTTTTTTTTTTTTGAGAAGAGTTATCCGAAATGACTTATGAGTTGGCAGTGAATATGACACTGAAAACGTGAGACCCCTTAATGTTATATATTCAATATATTTTTATGATTAAGATAAGTGAATAACAAAAAATTGCTATAAAATAAATAATTTATAAAATATTTACATGTATAAATAAAAAATAAGTACTTAAATTAGACTGAGTGTTTAAGTTTCTTTGAAATCGTAATTGTAATTATGTCATGGGACTAAGTCACGTAATTGACCATTCAGCCTTTGTCAGACAGCCGGTGAGAACAAGCGATCCCACCGAGCCACTGCTTTATAGGGAAAATACAAGTAGAATTAAAAATTTTAGGAAAAACATTTTTTTTTTGGGCCAGAAGAAAAAACTTATTATTTCATCTATATACTTTTAGCTTCGTTAAATTTCAATGACTTAATATAACTCGCTTTTTATAATTTTAAATGGATTAAAACCCAATCCTCAACTTCAATTCTTGCAGCTCAACCCATAAATCTCAATAATTTTTTTTTAAATTGTTATTAAAATTTAAATACTGATGTTTTCGATGGCTAAAACTAAATAATTAAATTGCAATGAGTTAAAGAGCTCTGTTAAAGTTTAAAGACTAAATTTTAATAAAGAGAAAAGTATAAGAACTAAATAATTTTTCCAAAATTTCAAGCCACATTCTTCAGTCACACAAGCTATTAAGGAGGTTGTTACATCATCATTAAAATTTAAATACTAGTGTTTTAAATGGCTTAAACTAAAATTATTAAATTGCGATGAGTTAATGAGCTCTGTAAAGTTCAAAGACTAAATTTCAATAGAGTGAAATATATAAGAACTACATGAATAATTTTTCCAAAATTTCAAGTCACATTCTTTCGCCACGCAAGCTATATCATGTGAACGTGAAAACACTCGTGTCTCAAGTGAAATTATTCGCATTTGTTTAACTTGCTAATACCACATGTTTCAGTCTAACTGAATCACAAGCATCTTTTTAAATAATGCGAGTGCGAAATCTCACGGTCACTCACGATGCTATATCATGTAAACAGCTCAAAAGCAAATAAATAACGCCGCAAACAAATTAAATGAGACAAACTATACCATTCAGGTTTTGATTTTGTATAAAAGGATAAAAAAAAGCCTACCACAGCTCAGCTTAAGATAAAGTTCTAGGAACACAAATCGCAGGAAAACAGAGAACTCTTGTCAATTCACTTCCTACTATGGACCTTGACAGCCTGCCTGTTCCTCTTCTTAACGCCAGATTTGGCAACTTTGAGACTCCTATAAACAGCACTCAACCTTGCAAGGGCTGCCTTCTTAAGATCAGGCCTGTAGTAGTTGTCTGCCACCTACAATGCACAATGGATTCTTGGTCATGTTCAAACAAAAAAATGAGGTGGAGGTTGCAGCAATTGGAAAATGAAAAATCTTTCAAGTATCCACAGGAACAAGCGCAGAGAAAATGTCAGACAGAAAACTAGCACAGATTGGACCAAGTGCATGTTTAAAAGCCATGGGTGATTAATCTTTGATCATGTTGAAATGATCATTGGTGGGGGAAAAAAAAACTAATTGGCATAGAAATGGAGGGTCATTCCTCTCGATTGTCCAACATAATTGTTAAAACATCATAACCATCAATTTCATGAGTAGAAACATCACTGTAAAGCAACACATGGCTTAAACTGTGCAACCCATTTTCCTCGCATATTTACTGGGAGTGAGATCAAGTAAACATAGATGTAGCGACTTGTTTGAGGCTGTAATCAAAACTGTAAAATCAACTCAATAGGCACGGAGAATCGCCAGCTGAGTTCTTTTCACCAACCTTAAAGGCAAGATGCACCACTTATTTTTGCAATAGATGCTCTTGCTCTGCTAATTGGCTTTCACATTCACAACCACACAGTTCTCAAACCATACACACAATCACGAACTAATGAAACAGAACAATAAAGCAAATCAGATGTTGTAAGAATGCACCAAGCAAAACTCAAACACCTTACCATCTATATACAGATTGTCTATGCAGATTAAAAATATAGCTATAAATATCAACAAGGTCAGATGCGTAGCTTATTTTCTTTATTATGCCACTAAATATGCCTATCAATGCATCACCATGTTAACAGCCCATGGCAAAACTGTGCTACCCATTTTCCAAGCACATTTACTCAGTAAGATCAAGAACAAATACATGTAGCGACTTGTTCGAGGCCAGCATCAAAACTATAAAATAACTTGATAGGCACGGAGAATCGCCGATTGAGTTCTTTTCACCAACCTTCAAGGCAAGACGCACCATCTGCATTTACAATAGATGCTCTTGCTCTGCTAATTGGCTTTCACATTCACAATCACACTTGTCAAACAATACACAAACACGGACTAATGAAACAGAACAATAAAGAAAATCAGACGTCATAAGAATGCACCAAGCAAAACTCAAATGTCTTACCCTCTATATACAGACTGTCTATGCAGATTAAAAATATAGCCACATATATGAGCAAGGAAAGATGCTAGCTTATTTTCTTTATTATGCCATTAAATATGCTCATCAATGCAATGAATCACCATGTAACAGCTCATGGCAAAATTGTGCTACCAATTTTCCATTTACATTTTCTAGGACAAATAGATGTAGCGACTTGTTCGAGGCCATCATCAATACTATAAAAAACTTGACAGGCACGGAGAATCGCCAATTGAGTTCTTTTCGCCAACCTTCAAGGCAAGATGCACCATTTGCTTTAGCAATAGATGCTCTTGCTCTGCTAATTGGCTTTCAAATTCACAACCACACACTTCTCAAATAAGACACACACGATCACATACTAATGAAACAGAACAATAAAGCAAACTAGATGTCATAAGAATGCAACAAGCAAAACTCAGACATCTTCCCATCTATAGACAGACTGTCCATGCAGATTAAAAATATAGCCATGTATATGAGCAAGGAAAGAAACCTAGCTTATTTTCTTTATTATGCCACCAAATATGCTTATCAATGCATCACCATGTAACAGCCCATGGCAAAACTATGCTACCCATTTTCCATGTACATTTACTAGAAGCAAGATAATAGCTGTAGCGACTTGTTCGAGGCCGTCATCAAAACTATTAAATCAACTTGATAGGCACGGAGAATCGCCAGTTAAGTTCTTTTTGCCAACCTTCAAGGCAAGATGCACCATTTGTTTTTACAATAGATGCTCTTGCTCTGCTAATTGGCTTTCACATTCACAACCACACACTTCTCAAATAAGACACACACGATCACATACTAATGAAACAGAACAATAAAGCAAACTAGATGTCATAAGAATGCACCAAGCAAAACTCAGACATCTTCCCATCTATATACAGACTGTCCATGCAGATTAAAGATATAGCCATATATATGAGCAAGGAAAGATGCCAAGCTCATTTTCTTTATTATGCCACCAAATATGCTTATCAATGCATCACCATGTAACAGCCCATGGCAAAACTGTGCTACCCATTTTCCATGTATACTTACTAGGAGTAAGATCAAGAACCAATAGATGTCACGATTTGTTCAAGGCCATCATCAAAACAAGAATAAATAATTTAATTTCACTGATGCCCTATGTTATACAGCAGCTTCCATACAACATTCACCAATAGCTTGGAGTAGCATGTAAGGAAGAGATCAAAGGAGCCCATCCAGGCAAGTATAAAAGCTCAGAAGCCAAGCGTAACAAGCATATTTCATAGAAGAAATCCAACTTGGGATTCTTCTTACATGTTAAAGGCTCATCACCGCAGGGAAAAACCCAGTCTCAATAACATGAAGCTAACAAGGTTTCAACTTGTCAAGACTTCGAAGGGGTGTGTGATCAAATGCAAGTGGGGGCATGTGTGTGGACCATAAGCAAAAATGCAAAAATGCATTGCTCACATGTGAAATCAGATTATTATTTTCAACAAATTGATACTGACAACCAGCCACCATCATTGACGGCAAGTAGGTGTGACAATTAGAAAGAGGATCTTTCCTCCTTGTTCAACATAATTGTGCAAACACTATAATCATCAATTTCAAGAGTTGAAACAACACGAATGCCCTATGTTATAGGGCCACTTCCACACAAAGTTAACCAATAGCTAGGTGTAGACTATGTGAAAGAGATAAGAGGGAAAAATCCAGGGAACTACAGAAGTTCAGAAGCCAAGCGTAACAAGCATATTTCATTGAAGAAGCCTTAACTCAGCATTCTTCTTGCAAGTTAAGGCTCATCATCACATGAGAAAAAACCAGTCTCGTCACCAAAAAAAGGCAACAAGGTCTCAACTCATTACTTATTAGGTCTTTTGTTGGGTGAAGTTTCTTCGGTGGATAACTTGTAAGGTCTATAAACAGTCTACTGAAAACATATATTCACATATGTATAAACAACTTATTTTCAATGAATTTATACTAACAATTGGCTATTTCGACTAACAGCAAGCAGGAAAGGCAATTAACAACATGATTGTTGCCAAAACAACTCAGAAATATAAATAATACGTTTTTGTAAATTAATACCTGGTTTACCACAGCCTTTGCCATTCTAGGGAACTCCTTTTTCATGACAGACTTGTGAAGCAAAGAACCAGGCCTGTTCTGTTTCTTTGTCTTGGTAGTTGCTAACAACACGGATTGATCTTTACCCGCAGGTTGAATAGTGATGGTCTTCTTGTTTGCCAAACCTGGCATTCTAGTGTATCTTAACCTTATGCACCAAAACTTGAGATACAATATAAAAGAAAAGACGAGAAAAAATGCAAAATTTCAATGCTAACTCAAGCCTCATCTCAGTTCCCCACTCTCGAACAGCTATAGCTATGCACATCAAAAGATGAAACAAAAAATGTGTTTCCTATTCCATAACTCGAAAGTCAAAACTGTTGCTACCATCGGTGATACCCATCTACATCCCAATTTAGCATTCCCCAAATGACCAAATCTCCATCACACGAATCTTAAACACATCCCATAAAGCTATAAATCATAACTTGGATATGAATTGACAAATAATGCAGCAATTAAAAAAAACATAAAATTACCAGAGTGCTTGAAAGAATTGAGGTTATAGAGATTATTACTCTCTTTGCTAAACTGAACACTCTGAGTGCCCCTGCCGAACTCTTTAACCAAAAAGAGTTGTTCTTCTTCACGATCTCCCATACGAGCTGCCCTGGTACTGTGGCCATCTCTTTTTCCTGCAGAAACAGATCAAAATCATTTAAAAAAAAAAAAACAATCCAACAAACCCTAGGGCAAGCTCCAAGCCGCCACCACAAGGCAAAAACCAACCTACTGGCTTCCGCTGGTTCAGGGGAGACTGGATGAGCGACGGAGTCAGTGTCAGCTGTCAACCTTTATAACGGCGAAACCCTAATTGTGATGATCAATCAGGGTCCTGCGAGTTTGGCCCATTTTTCAGCTTTTTGGATCCAATTTTTTGGGCCAAGATTTTGGGTCCACATGAGCTTGTTCTAGTTATAGTTATAAATAATAACAATAATTAGTATCATTTTTATATTTTCTTGAGAGAATGAAAAATTTCTATTAAATATAAAATGACAAATTAATCCTGAAAAATGTGCATAGAAAGATTTTAAGGGATTTTTTTAAAATTAAATTTTTTTCAAAATTTCTTTAATACCCTTTTGTAATTAATTTTATATAGTTCACAAGTTTCATATAAGTATTCATAAATTTAATTTCACCCATGACTAAAACAATTTAAAAAAATCACAATTTTTTATTAATAATTTTCTTCAATAACCAAAATTTAACTAATTTTATATAGTTCATAAATTTATCATAAGTATTTGTAAGTTTGATTTTACCAATAATTAAGATGATTTAAAAAATTACAACTTTTTATCAACAAAATTTAACTAATTATATATTGTTTATAAATTTGATATAAATATACATAAGTTTTATTTCACTAATAATTAAAACAATTTAAAAAATAATAACTTTTTAAATTATAAAAAGATATTAAAGTAATTTCATATAAAAATTTAATCTCAAAAAAGTCCTTTGGAATCTGATCGTGAACATCACATTTCATAAGACTAGATTATCATTTCCTTATTTAGAAAAATTTATTTGTTCATTCTCTCTATTTTCCTATCATATTATTTATTATAAATAATACAAATAATTGCCGGGGAAAGCCCCTAGATATTATATGATAAAATAAATCATCTAAAAACTTTGAATTATTTTCTGAAATAAATTAGATTTATTTCTAAATTTTTATACCGTTTTATCAATTTTTAATTTTAATTACAATGTAATAAGATAATAATGTTTAATAGTATCATTCTTGTTAAGCATATAATTTTAACTTCTTTTTTTCCTAAAAAAAAAATGCATTCACTTGACCAAAAACAAACAACATGACAAAATCTTTTTCTAGAGCCGCTTAGAAATTTTGATCATAATGAGCGAAAAGCATATTATAGTAACTTTAGCACAACATAAAAGTTCATTTTTTAATAGTACTTCCACTTCTGTTTCCTTTTCATTATTCTCAATCTAAAAGACGCTCTTAATCTGCTCACGTTTCAGGCCAAATGCATTGATATTGACTTTAACCTGCAAAATGATACCAAGTAACAGAATTCCATAAGAATCAAGATCAAAGTAGACGACAAAAACAAATATTCTCACATGTTTGTATTTTTTTTCAGCTGTGATTTCGTAGAGGCTTGAAATAAATTATCAAGTCCCGGACTCTAATACAATATGATAAACTGTTATTAAACCTCTAAATCAACCTGAACTCATAACTCATTTTAAGAACCTAATATCAGGTCACCAATACCTAATACTAGATCATCTTTACAACCTCGCCTAATTTTACATTATTTACAAAACCAAGAGAAGCCAAGGATTGAACTCCTACCCTACTACTCCGGAATGTCTTGAAATTGTACATAAGATTCCACCTTCATGGTAGAATATGTTGTGTTGCAAACTGAACTGAATCAAAATCTCTCAAGACTATTAAAGAACCAAATCTCCATTAAAACCATTCACTGTACGTTCCTCCCATTATGCAAAGTCAAGGGTTTGTTGCCGGTAATACACGGTGGGTTGACCGGGCCAGACCATTCACTGCCTCATTTATCCTACTAAATACTACTTTTAGGGGAATGCAAGCTATGACAGGACCTTTGAACTTATCTACCACTGGTTTTCTCTCCTCTTCTGATTGCTTGTGACCCGTCAGTGATGACAGTTTCCGGATCTTTTTATTCAACAGCCCAGGTTTCTTCATTCTGGAAGATTTACTCGATGAAATACGAGACAAATTCTTGCTAGGCAGTCTTTGACTGGCTAAGTTTGGTTTTAATGCACAATAACTATCACCGGTGGCCAAGTTGCCCCCAATGCTGCTCAACATTTCATCAAAATGCCCATCATTCAAGGGCTCAACCGTAAGAGGATGTCCAACAATTGCCTTGCCATTCAATTTACTCATGAGAGAAACCAGAGGGACATGTTGTGGCCGGTAGCTGGCTTTAACCTCTATCTTCACATCATATAATGAAGCGTCAGAACAATTATTTCTTCCAGGAAAATCAGCCATCTGATATCTGGAGTTAACAGTAAACCTGGACTGGCGATAAGGAAGCAATCTCTGAGGTGTGAGAGAACCATCAGGCAATAGCTTTGCCTCTGTTGTACCCCTGGCATGCTTGCTCAGGCCTCGGCACCCATCTAGTTGGCCTTCAGCAACTGATTTGCAATTGGTTTGAGATGGACAAAGGTATGAGGATGTCGGTGCACCTGTGTTATTCCAATCAACTTTCTGCCCAGCACCTTGAGAGGATTCATCAGGGTTCTCTGTAACTGCCAAATAAGCATTGGATTCACCATCCATGTCCACATAATTTCTTGAGACCTGTTTTCTATTTTTATTTGTATTTCTGGAGTTCCTTTTTCCTTTTGACTGCCACTTTGAACTACCTTTCTCATCACCACGGCCAATATTATCATGACAAGCAGCAAGAGTCATACAACCAGAATCATTTTGGCCCCCATTAGCTGATGACGGGACTTCTGATTGAGCACCAGGACAAGATTCTCCCAATGCACCATCTTGAGGCTTTTCAGATGAACAAGAAACAATAACAGGTGAAAAGCCTGACAGAAGGAAAATTGTCATTACAAAAAGCTTGGCCACCGTAAAACTTCTGAAATCATAGATTAAACATGGCAAAGAAGTAGCATAACTGAACTGAAGCAAAAGCAGAAAAGAAAAATGAAAGAACTAAATTGTACTGCTTCTAAATGGAAGTAATAGTTTTACAGAGGAAAGTAAATGAGAACAGCAGATAAGCAATTTGTATTGGTAAACCTCATTATAAGTAGGCATTGACATATTCAATAGATGACTTTATACTTAGTCCATGCCTGGACATCAACGAAGCCACTTCAAACAACCAGTTTGTACTCATAACTTCATGAAAAAGTAACTATATTATAGCCAGATAGAAGCAGGTAGTAGTAATCTTCCAGGTGGTGGGTAAGCTAGAAAGATAATTTAGAATTGCCTATATCCGCTACACAAGAACATCAAGCGACTTACTTAAGAGCAAAACTAGGGGTCAATGTTTCTCAATCTTCTCTACACAACCAAAGCAGCCCAGAACTAAGCTCATTCAAAGTGTCTCCTCTAATATGCACATTCATTTTGTATATTGCACCTTTTAGGGGTTTTCAAAGTCCCAAGTGCTAACCATCAGATAAGATGCAAGCAGAGTAATCAGAATTTTGAAATCATATCAACTAAAAAATTATGGGAAAAAGATAATGAGAAAAAAAATCATACAACAAAGGATTCAACACACACTGGTATAGAAACCTAAATCAATTGGGAATCCAAAGGAAAAAGAAGGCATATATGAGGGGAAAATCAAGGAACCATTATAAGCAAAGCAGCGAGGGATGATGCTAAGCTGCTGCAAAGCATTCAACTGATAGTTCTAGATGACTATGCATCACATAAATAGAAATAAAAGACCCCCCGGAATTCAAGTGCTAATCATTCAAGCATACCTGGAGCATGTTTCTCCTCTCCCAAATCTCCAACAAGCGGTACATCAAATAACTTATCTGAAGAACCATTCCCAACTAGCCCTGACATGCCAGAAGTCTCATTCTCCTTGACCCTGTGACTAATTTCAGGAGCACCACAGCCACGTTCATTAACACCTAATGCAGTTCCATTTTCACATGCTACTCCATTACCATCAGAATTGTGAATAGCCAGTGGAATACCTTTCTTTGACCCGATGGAATCCAATCCTGAAATTTTCCCATCAGGTACCCCACAAAGTGGAGAACTGGTTGGATTTGGAAGCTGATCACAAATGACAGGAACTGATACCATGGCTGTACTCTCCAAAACCTTTGTTAAAGGTCGGCGTCGGTTTTTTCTTTTCAAGAATTCATGAACATTTGCCACTTGTGATCTCTTTCTTTTCAGTGATGAAGGATTAATCTTGCCACCATTTACCGTAGTACCATTTGCCAAGCAACTTCTGGCGTTTGAATTGCTTAGGGAAGCAATTTCCTGCTGAACTACATCAGTTGTTCCTGCACCCTGAACCTTTCTTTTTGACACCACACCAATGCCCAGGTCCTCAAGTCCTCTCATTCTCTTGACTCCTTCAGTCCCATCATCTTCTGAGTCATTAGGGGTTCTTCTTCTCCGAACCTGAACAGATTGCACCTTGGAAGAAACGTTGTGATTTGGCTCTTCAAAAGATATACCAGATTGAGATAATTCTGGAGCTGAATTAGAATTATCTTCAGAGTCACTGGGATCATCAGTAATGTCATCATTATCATCACCGGAATTGGACAAAACTGGTGATTCTCCAGCTACAACAGTATGTTCACTGGCTGATTTATCTTCTCTGGAGAAATTTAACGGTTCCTTGCCTAGGCGAGCACTCTCAAGTTCAAGAGCATGGAGGATTGCATCTTCTCTGCGAGCATACTTCACTGCCTTCTTGTTTGCATTGGCTGCAGATGCCTTTGCTCTTTCAATGCATTCATTGTATTCTCCACAACGGAAAGGTTTTACCCGCTTAGACTTTTCAAGGTTATACCAATCCCTAAATTACAGAAGATATTTCAACAAAACGAGACCAAGTAAATACATTAATAAAACTCTATAACTCCAACAGCAACTATTCAAGAGAGCATCTGAATCACAGAAACCTAGGGAGACATCTAACTTCTAGGAAGAGGTTACAGTGCAAAAGTAGCCCTGCATTTATTAAAAAAGAATGCAACACCAAAATTGGCCACAATCTTAGCATAGCAAATCTTTCTTTCTAAAATATATTCTAGTTATTTTGAAAGTTTTTTTTTTTTCAGCTTATCAAGTCAGATACAATGTAGGCACCTTGCATCCTAGGATCTCAGCCAAGGACTGACCAAAACCCGTGGACAAGTTTTTCATGCCAAAAGCAGGAAATTAGGAACATCCATATAAGCCTGAATGCAAGAACACAGATTTGATCACCTATTCCAGGACAGTGCCGGCATGTGAAGCAACCATAAATCAAAAGGAAGGAAAACATTTTCTGGAAAACTTAAACTTTGATGCAACACCAATTGTATTCCATCCAATTAAGTAACAAATGAAAGAATGACTTTATGAGTTTCAATAAAGATTACACAAAGGGCTTCAGCTACAAACAGTACCACAGTATAACACTCAGGTCTTCAGCAACAAACAGTACCACAACAGTCATAAGATGTCAACAAAAAGCAGTGACCTACAGATTACACACAAAAGTCAATGCATTAATACACAGTAATGGTTTAACCAAACAATTGACCAATCACTAGTTCAGATTATCTTATTCGGTAACACAGATTTAGCTATGAAGTGATAATAAGATATGAAGTCCATACTGGCAACTATGTTTTGCAGGAGCACTTGCACCAATTGTTAGATTCTCCTATCACACAATAGAATTACAAAGTAAGACTTCTATTAATCTAGGCTCTCAAGATAATACAAGGACACAGGGCAAGGAATCTCCCTAAAACCCAGGGGAGAAAAACAATTCTATCCGACAGAATTCACCCATAAAAACCACACGCCAGCCAAAAAGTTGCAGAGTTAAAGGACACTCCTACTGGCTTCCAAAACTTCAGAACTTCATTGCTAAAAAAAATATCTTAAATGGGATGCCAAGAACTTTATTACGAAGCTGCATGGCAATCTTAAAATGCAGAGAAAGATCATTAATTGTCTCCGAACCCCCAAAACACAATACTGACTTATGGAGAAATAGCCATGTTTGGCCTTAAGTCTAAAGTTACCTCCCATACTTTATCCATAGCTCACTTCAGTCCAAACAAACCCTTTACCTTAGAAAGAGGAAAAGGAAGATTTAAAGATGCAAAAGGCGCTGCAAAAAGGATGAACTGAGAAATCCTTTGATGGGAAATGGTTAAACCAACACAGGCTACCAGGTATTACAACTTCGTGAAAAATGCATTATCTATCAAAACAAGCACATAGTCACTAACATATATTGACACGGGCGATACTAGGCATCGAATTTTGGGAATAGAAATTTAAGAGGAAAACAAATAGAAGTTGCAAACTGCTCCAATCAATTCATACAGGATAAGCGAAGTCTCAAAATGAAAACGGAAAAAAAAAAATGAAAACAACATACTAAAAGAAAACCAAGATAAAAGTCAATAAAGTAGGTATAAAGCAAGAACAAGCACTCACACGCTTGCGTCCTCGCGACCTAACAGCTTAACTGGAGTGCCCGATCTCGGAGAAACCAAACAACTCTCAGACAATTCATCGAGACCCATTATCCGGCCAGGCCACCAGGAACCATTACGGCGACGGACCCAAACCAACCCACCGACAGACGCATCGATTTCGTTGGTGTTGGAGTTGGACTCTCCCGAGCTACCCATTTCACAAAGAGAGCGAAGAAATAAAATCAATAACTTGAAATCCCAAAATCAATCCCAACCTGCCATTGGTAAGTAAGCGAAGTCTAGAAGATGATCAAAAGCTTCCCCTTTGCTGAAAGAAGCTCACACCCTTCAAGCCTAAAATCCCATAAGATAAACAGATTAAAAAAATAAGAGAACTTATAATTTTGCATGCTTAAAAGGGAGAGCAGAAAAGCAAACAGAAGAGTACAACTCAAAAAAATGAAGAAATTGATTAGAAGAACAAGGCCAACATACCCCAGACAGAGCTGTGAGGTAAAAACGGATAAACCAGGGGCACGGATGGAAAGGGCTTATTGTGGATGAAGATCTAAAGTTGAAATGGCACAAAGAAGGAGCAGAATGAAATCGCCACTGAAAAAAGGGATCCAATATTTGTATTGTTTTTCAGTATCTGAGGCTTGTTATGACGTTTTATGGATACACTGTGATAGTTTTAGCGATTTTCTGATTTTCCCACTTGCTGGGATTACATGAGAAGCTCGTCTATGCCACACAGACAGTACAGACAGTGCGTGCGAACAGCGAGTAAGGTAGAGGAGAGCGAAGCAAGTCCTGAAAATGAGAAGAGAAAGGGCTTCTGTGTGGATCAAGCGTACCCCTTGGTATCTTTATGCCGAGAGAAAGGGAGAGGGAGAGGGAGAGAGAGAGACAGGGCGTTTGTTTTCGCCGGGGAGAGAAGATGGGTGCTTGTATACGGTTCTACTTGTACGGTATAAGAAAGTGGAGTAAATATACATCGTAAATCATAAACGCTTGAGAGTGGAGAGTATAGGGCCCGTTTTCTGTATGCCAAATATTGAAAAATGAAAGCGTAAAAGGTAAAGGGAAAATTACATGTAAATCCTGCGTAAGAAAATTTATTATAAAGAGATCCTGACCACATAAGAAAACTACATTTTGCTACCAAGTTATAAATGATAATTGCTCAATTGTCAATGACATCAGTCAACTATAACATTCTAGTATTCAAAAAGGGAGAATACATGATCCAAGAGTAGAGAGTGGATATTTTGGTCAAGCAACCCCGTACAATTAAAGAACGTGTCTAAATTGTTCATGCAGATTGGCTTTATATGATTTGATAGCACATAAATTCAATTAGAAAATATAAATAGAAAAATAAGGATGAAATGTATATGACCATATATAGTTATTGTTGTTGCATTAAATGCCTTTTGATTAATGATTAATAGTTTTTAAAATACATGCCGAATATTGAAGGATTGTTAATTGTGATTTCTTGTCTTGCGTACTTGTATTTACCACACTTTTATATAATTATGTACCTTAGTTTTTAATAATGTATAATTTCATTTTTGTTTGTTAACATTTTTTATGAGACATCAAGGTGACGGGAAAAGGAGAAGCATATGAAACTAAGAACTAAATCTTGTTGTAAAGTCTCTAGTCTCTTTGTAATACAAACGAATGTATATTTTGCCACTCTAAGGATCAATTTTAATGTATTAACTATTTATTATTTGCCTGTAGCCCTTATTATTAGTCTTGGACAATTTTTGGTTGCTGGGCCTTAGACTTGAGAAAGGCCATTATTGTATATTTGTGGTTATGATTGGTACTTCTTATTTCTTAAATTTACCTGATAGGTTATTATGATTATGAGTATGTACAATTGTGAATCATTTATAAATGGTCAATTATGACAGTTTAATAGGGGAAACACTTGAAGGTGCTTGTGGCATTAAAAGCTTGTTTTATACTTAGTGTTCAAGATCCTCGTATGGTACTAGATTAGAATGGAACCAGAGCCATTGGGTAGATTTTTAGATTACCTTTGTGTGACCATCCAAATCACCTAAATCGAAGACCTGGGCTATTGATTAGGTGATTTATAAGTTAGATTTTTATATCATATATTTTCATTATGTTAGGAGGCTTTTGCTGTGGCAAACTATATTATTAGTCACGATACACAATCTTTGTACCACGAACCTTGATGAATGGTGTGTTAGTCATGGCAAACATGCCTTGTTTCACAAAAATTACTTTTTTATTCTTGTTTGACTTATTTTTAAATGCTTAACCCTTATCCTATGTTTAGCAATTTTTGCTTTGATTTTAGTTATTTTCAATCATGTATATTTATTTGACACTTTCAAATAATTTTAGGATCATGTCATTTTATTTTATTTTTGCTTTCAAAGTCAATTGTTAAAATCAACCTTTGTCAAGGTTGATCCTTAGTTTTGATATTTAATTTAATTATTTTGGGTTCAAAAATGGTTAATAAAAGAGATCATTGCATGAAGAATGGAATGAATAGTCCTAAATTTGGTAAAGAGGGGTAGAGAAAAATTAAAAAAAATAATTATAAAAGTTATTGAATAAGACTTTTTTAGTTAACAATATTTCTAAAAGATTAGTTGTTAATATAGTACAATAACATCATGCAATTAATGCAGTAGATGTCACCTAGTAGGATAATGCATGTTGTTGTTGTTAAATTATATGCTATTTATTAATTTTTAAATTATGATTGTATTTCTTATTTTTAGGAAAAATGATAATAAAATTCCTCATAATTATATAAATAACATTTTAATTTCTCAAAATATTATAATACTAATGAAGTCTTTAGAGAACTATTTGTCAATACATTTTTTAGAAAAAAAACCATTTCACCCTTATAGATAAGTTGTGATTTCTTGTTTAATTTTTATAATTCCTTAAAAAAAGTTGTGATTTTTTAAATGAAAGTTGTAAATGGAGTTTTTTATTTTAAGAACTTATTTTTTAATAATAAAAACCACACTGAACAAATTGTAATTGTTTACTCAGCTCTTGCTATTCATAAAAAAATGTTGCTATTTTTTAAATAAAAATTATGATTGAGACTTATTTTTTAATAACAAAAATTACACTTGACAAATTATAATTTTTTGTTCAACCCTTGTTACTTACAAAACAAAAATTATGATTCTTTTAAACAAAAATTGTGATTCAATCTTGTTATTTTTAATAAGGATAAAATGATCTTTTTACTAAAAAAATTATTAACAAAGATGTCTCTAAAAATTTTATTGATATTATGGCATTTTGAAGAATTAAATTGTCATTTATTTAATTTAAAAGAATTTTATTATTATTTTTTCTTATTTTTACTCAATTTTTAATATTTTTATTTCAAATAATTTTGTATATATATTTTTTTGTTTTTCTTATTTTGGTACACGATCAAAGCTACATTAATTTAATCACAATATTTTTAATTTAATTTTTAAGCATGTTTAAACTATAGACCAGTTCATGGTGAGAGGGGTTAAACGGTACGTTTAAGGCGTGGTCTGCTCTAGGGTCTTTTCCGAAAGCTGGCTTTGGTGTGAGATTGTGTGTGTATGCGCGCGTGCAAGCTGCCTAGCTCGTCGAACTCAGGCCTCTTCGAATAACGAAGGAATCCAAGAATCAAGGAAAATCCAACTATGACAGGTATTCGCAGTTTTTCGCGAAACATTTGTTTCATTTAGAAAGCGATAAACTGTGGTCCATTTATGTCGGCTGTGCATACTGATCCTTTTGAGCTTGTTTTCATTCAGGACTGTTTGTTATTCAGTGAAATTATGTTGCTTGAATTCTTCACAATCACGAAAGTCTTCGTCATATTTAAAATGAGTGAAATTGGACTTCATTGCTCCTTATTATAATGTTTACTGAGACCCTGCAACACTTCTGGCAGTATTATTTTTACCACATCGGTGTTACTACAAATTCCAAAACCGCAAGCTTAACCCTTTTAACCAAATCAAGAAAAGCTATCTGCTGTATCTGACTGATGTTTTTGCTTCATTAAATGCTAGATGTCTTTTAAACAAGTTCTTCATGGGCTAAGTTTTAAAGATCCTGGATTTTTTTAATGTATAATGAAATATGAATTTGTTCATCTCATTCTGCTGACCAACATGTAAATTCGATTAGCTCTTCTGAACGTATTAAATGGCTGGTCCCCCTGAACAGCTCGCCATAAAGTCCATGTTCTTCTTAAAGGAGATTGATTTGTCTAGGGACATAAGAGTTGGGCCTTAACAAAGGATTCGTAATATGATCAGTTGAGTTAATTGTCCTTCCTAGAATATCGGGAAACTGAAGCTTTAATTGGTGGCAACAGTATCAATCTATTCTAGAGCAAGTAGCATGAATGACAACAGCGTATTCTATTTTAAATATAGACACAGTTTGCACCTCTTGACAAGCCACACTGTTTGCGTCAACATGTGAATTTGTTGTTATTTGTTTCATTGTACAAGGGTGTTTTTAGCTTGATGTTAAAGTGGATATGGTAGCATGCACTGAGGATTTAGGAGAATTCAAAGAGAGAAAATGCGGAGTTGATTGGGATGATTGATATTCTTGCTCACAACCTTGGTCTCAACCACCCTTATATTTTTTTTCTCTCTCTTTTTTTTAAATCCTTGATGACAGTATCAATAATTACTTTATGTGGTTAATGTCAATGTTTCTTTGCAGTTAAAAGAAGTTTTCACAAGAGGATTATTTTCATGTCTAAGTAAAGGTCTGTAGATAATTTAGAAAATAAATAATAGAATAGTAAACCGTAAACCTTAATAATAGCCTTGTATATATTTAATAAATTTATTATATTGCAAAATAAAATGCAACAGTTTCTTGAAGTGTTTGCACATCGCATTTTGTTAGAAGGAATAATGATGATTTGAACTGTTCATTATTTGAATAAAGGGTGAGTGTCTAGGTTCATGCTATGGAATATTGATCAACAATTAATAGGGCAATATGTTATGCTTGTGTTGTGTGCTAGTACTGCATTATGAATGTCAGTAAAATTGACCACATGCATTACACAGACTATGCACAAGAACAAGAAATGGAAATTGAAGCTTTGGAAGCTATACTCATGGATGATTTTAAAGGTATATGGTTTTCTTTCATCAAGTAGTTTTTTTAATAAAATAATTTACTACTTTTCCTCGCTATTTCCTCTCGGGAGGAGGCATAATATTCTGTTTCATTGTTTATGGTAGAGATACACTCTGGTGAAAGTGGCCTAAGTACTTCCAATAAATGTTATCAGATAAAAGTATCTGCACAGGTAAATGCTTTCTGTTCCTTTATTGCAGTTTCTCAAGTTTTACCGAAATGATAAGAAGGAAAAGCAGATTTTACATAAAAAGGAAAAATTCGCAAGTTGAATTCCAAGTAGAATGCTTGCACAATAATCACCACATGGGATATTAATCCAAAGTGGCAGTCATTCTACTAAATTCTGATTCTGAATTTTAGACTAGCAGGAAAAAATTGTTCGTGGAAGCTGTAGTATTTGGCTGTTGTTTGTGAAAATCTTCTTCCTTTTCCTTTTGGACCCTTCTATTGACTTTGATCTGATCATTTGAGTTTTGTGAAATTAATGTCATGTTGATTATCATGTTAAGAAGTGCCAACAAATTTGCAATATCGTATGCTGACAAATCATTTGCAATAGCTATTGATGTGTTTAGATTGGAAGGTATTATACAGAAGGAGGGGAAAAAATTAGAATTTTGAGCATGAGATTAAAAGTTAAAGTTGGAAAGGAGTATGCGCCAGAACAGTGGAGGTAAAAATGGATGAACAATTCCCAAGGGAAAATGGGGGGAATATTTTGTCTCATTTGTATTTGCTGCATATTTCACAAGGCGTGATCTTCTCTCCAACAAATTATCAATTGCAAGCCTTTTTCTTTGATAAACTCATAAAGAAACCACAATTCTTAGCACACTTAAGAAGACCAGTGTTTCTCTTTATATGAGGGTGTTTTAAGACCTCATGGAGAACATGTGGAATTAATTATTTTCTATTGTTACAGAGTAACTAGTGTGCAGTTTATTAGGATTTTGAATTTAGTAGGCTTAAAAATATAGGTTTGTTTCTGTTACTTCCCCATCCCCTTCTATGGTTGATGGTATGTGCCTGGGAAATTAGCACATATTCCTCATCAACTGCGTTAGACTTATGTGTCTGTTTGCAATATGGCATACAGGAAGATGATACAGATGAGTCAATGACAAATCCAGGTTCTTTTCTCTAGAGTTCTAAATATATCTTGGATTTCTTCCTAAGATACCTTCATTTTTATTCTTTTCAAATTTGTGCTGTGAAATTTCTGTAGTTTACTATTTTTTCTATATAGCATCTTCTGACTCCAAATGTACTTAAGATAAGTTTGAATTTTCTGTCACAGTTCAATTGGCTTTGATCTTTTCACATACAGAGAAGTATCCAGATGAACCTCCGCTTCTGAATTTGAAGAGGTCAGTTTTATTGATTGTAACTGTTTTAAATGTGTCAGGAGGACAGAATTATTCTCTACTCCCTCCATTCAAAAATGTATGGCATTTTAACCAAATCTCACCCGTTAATAAAGTATTTACCTACTTTTAAAATAATCTTATCTTTTCATATTTACCTCTTTTAAACACCCTATAATAAATGTAAAGTTATTCATCAATAGGGGCACTTTTGAAAAAAAGTCAATGATTACACCTTTAAAGACTAAAAATGCCTTACATTTTTAATATCAAACTCCTCAAAAAATGCCTTACATTTTTGAACGGAGGGAGTATCATTTATAATTGTCTCTGTTTAGTCAGTATGAAGCATAGTTCTTTTGCATGTTATTTTGTTTTTTTTATTGTAGATCAATGTGAAGATTTGTCACAAATCTCTTTAAGTCAAAACTTGATTTGTTAAGTGAAAGCCCATGAACAGTTCTATCATTTTTTAATGACATAAAGGTCCTATGGGCTTGAGCTGTGGACAAAGCTCATGCTCCCAAACCATGTCTTGAAACTTAATTTCAAGTCCTAATGGGGGCATGAGGATTGAACTCTTGATAGGGACTTTGATACCATTTGAAGAACCACTTTAACTCAAGAGCTTCACTTGTTAAGTGAAAGCCTATGATTAGTCTCATTGTGATCTCTAACAAGATTAATTTTCTATTTCCTTTTGACTTTTCAGCTTGCAAGGAATACCTAATGAAGATTTAAGGATTTTGAAGGAGAACATTCAAGAGGAGGTGGTCTTTTATCTTAGGCAATTTGAAATGAATGTGTCAGGCTTTTCTGCTATGGCTGTACTGAATGTTTCCTAGTTTGGAAGACTTTTCAATAATTGCATTCTGAGTTTTCTTCCTCTGTTCTTATTTACACTTTTTTGTTTGCTGATGATTTTAGAATTTAAAATCCATTTCATATACTGGTCATATAATGAAAGCTTTGACAAAACTTGTGGTCCACAGGCATCTGAAAATCTTGGCATGGCGATGATCTACACTCTAGTTACCTCAGCTAAAGAGTGGTTATCTGAACGGTTTTGTCAAGATCCTACTGATGGAGATGCTGAAGCTGAAGAGGCTGCCAAAGATGATGTAAGAATGTCTCTTTTACATTGTGGTCTTCCCTCTTAATTTTTTCTTTTTTGTTCGGTTCAAATATAGATATCTTTTCTGCGTATTTCTGTGTGTGTTACTCCAGCAAGATAGCTGGTACTCGATGTTACATCATGGTATAATATTTATTACGTGACATATCTGGATTTTATCTGTTGAAGTCGACTTTTCCAAAAGAAATGAACCATTTTAGCTCACTTACATATGATTTATGCAATCTGATTTTTGTACCGAGTTTTTGCTGACACCTTTTCCAGAAGGGTGCTAGCTCACTTACATATGATTTATGCAATCTGATTTTTGTACCGAGTTTTTGCTGACACCTTTTCCAGAAGGGTGCTTAGCAGAGACCATGGGAGTAAGTGGAATGAACAAAGTGCAGCTTGGTGTCAAGAGAGATGGTTATGAAGTTTATCAATCTTCTTCAGCATGTAGGAGTAAGGCTAAGTGATAATCTGAGCAAATATATATATATATATATATATAGAATAGGAGAAAAGCCCAATATATCCTGTTCTGATTATACAGAATCAAAACTATGGAGAGGACCTCAACTTATTGATAATAAAAAGAAATGTGTGCATAATCTTTAAGATTTAAACAATGTACCTGTCAGAAAACTCCCTGCATACTGTATGTGCGGCAAATGATCGCATAGGATAAACATTCATTTGTTTATATAATTACTTGATGCTGTCAATGGTTTGAAGAATAATCCTCTTGTTCTCAATGTTATAGTAGCACAGGGCTGCAGTGGTTTGTTTGCCTTTTCATATTCTTACCTTGATTAAGAAGAGAGTACAATTTTCGTCGTGATAGGTCTGCTAAGTTGCTAAGACCTATAGGAGCAGATTTCAAAGAAAGTGAGAGAAGAGGGCAAAACAAAAACTACTGGGTCAAAAGATTACACCATGGGTCCTGGGCAAGGGGGAAAAGAAGTGACATAGGAGAAGGGAGTAGGGGCAGCTAAGGGTAGGGGCAGTGATTTGGTAACTTTTTGGGTTTTAAGTTCTCCAATTCAGCCGAGAGAGGGAGTAGAATCATTTTGGAAAGTGAAGTGAGCTTGGGAGAGTACTACCCTCTCAAAAGTCTAGTGTATTGGGGTGGAGGAAGATCTTCTTGCTTCATCATTTTCTCTTTATGTTTTAGTGCATGTTAGGAAGTGGCTTATGTTGTAGATTATTGTTCTGTGGAGTGTATTTTGTATTGATGGTTGTACTCTATAACTTTATTATTCTGGGTGTACGAGGGAGTTGGGGTTAGCTTGAATCCTTATCTTCTTTGTAATCTTTCTTTTTTATTACCCAGTAATAGTATTTTCAGTCATTTTTACTGTATTTGCTTGGTCTTTTGCTTGTTTTAAGCTTATTAGTATAGAGGGTTTTATCATATTGGATCATTCTCTTGTAATTTCTTGTGTTTTCCGATAATGTAAATTGGAACTTGAATCTGTTGCTTGATACAGATTTGTTCGTCTTCTTTCTTAGATAGTAGTACCACATGGGGAACCGGTTACTGTTGACACATTTTTGGCATGGAGAGAAAGGTTTGAAGCTGAACTGGCATTGGAACGAGCAAAGTAAGTCCTTTATTGCTGGACACACATTTCTAGATCTGCTGATATCTGCTGTTTAATAATTTTGAAGCTATTCATGGTGTTCTTTAATTGAATTGCATTACATGCATGCTTAGGTGGCTGGTAAGGTGATGTTATGCATCATGGCATTTGCTTCATGACTTTAAGTACTTTTTGATTGCTTAATATGTATTGCGATCAGTGTTTGGTTATGCTTTGAATTAAATACAGGGTTCTTAGAAACCAGAGTGAAATGAATCTTCCTTCAATTTCTACAATCTTCTTCTCTATTTTTAAAATATTTATGGACGTCTCCCAAAACAAAACTTGTACTGCACTTTATTTCAGTTCTAAATTTTTAAATAAAATACTCTCCTTAATTTTTTTTCCAAACAAAATCTACTTTTTTTAATTTTTATTTGTGGATATCGTATATAATACATGTTCATATATTCAGATCAGTGGAGGATATTTTAGTCAAAAGATTTAAAATTGAGATGAAGAGTATATTTTGAATTCACCATGCTGCGTGAACTGTTAGATGTTTTTTTTAGTGTCAGAATTCAGACAATAGGAGAGTCAGCCACTTCTATTATTGATAACAACTCGTACTGATAGCAAAATCATTGGTGCTGCATTCAGGCTAATGCCGGAGTCTGCACTTACAGCCCCCAAGGAAAAGAAGCTCTCTGGTAGACAGTGGTTTGAAAGTGGAAGAGCTTCAACGGTACTTTACTTCCCAATTCCCATATTATTGCTTTCTCTTATATGGCCCATGTTTTAAGTGGGCATAAACACTTCCCCACCGCAAGCATATAATTTGGTACCCGTGATAATTTTATATTGATTAAAAAATGGAATTGCTATGAGGTGCTAATATATTATCGACTTTGAAGAATCCTTTTGACCCTTCTGGGTGACCTGATTGCTGAGGAAAATGTACTGTAAGGATGCTAAATGGTCATGAATTCGCATTATAGTTACATTAGGCAGTTAAGTCTAGACCTTATTGAAGTCATTACTCTTAGGCCCTGTTTCATATGAGGGAATGGAGGGTTGGGTTTGGGATTGGTATTGGTATTGGGAAAGGCCCAAATTGATGTGCTTGGTATGAGGGATTAGAGCTAACCTGGGATTGCTCAATCCCAATTGCATGGGATTACTGAAACCCACCCTTCACCTGGTATTGAGAATTTAGTCCTGGGTTGGAAAATTTTTCAGGCAAAAATATCCTTGCTTATGATATTTTTCGGACAAAATGCCCCTCTGAGTTTTATCTCTTAATCTCATTGCGATACCTCAGCAATGCATCCTCTCCATCCGCAAAGCCCAAGATCTGTGGATCTCCATCATCGCCGCAAAGCCTTTTGCCTTTTGAACTTCATCAGTCCATCAAGAAGCTCTGTCAGATGCAAGACATTGTCAGAATATTTCTTACCATCAGGTACAATGAACTATGCTTCTAGAGATTCTTATTCCTCAAAACTGAGATGAGTTATCAGGATTTTTTTGCTCATAGCCATGTGATTTGAGAATGGAGAGACGGCCTTCTTGGAAAGAGATTCTTGTATCATCTGATCTATGCTTATGGGAGAGTAGAGAGGTATTTTTCTTGGTTGGAGAAAAGACCTGTGCGCCCCTTTTCTTTCCTCAATACCTAGAAGCAATTAGCTCTGCACTTGCTTGCATGCTTCTTCCTTACAACCTGAAAGAAGAGAGTGACTGCGGCAGAGGAAGATGGTGGTGATCGTGGCAAAGGGGAGGAAGGGCTGGGGTTAGATCACAACAGAGGAAGAGATTTTATTAGGGCTGGAAATTTTTTATTAATTAAAAGGGGTATTGTAGTCTTTTCATAATTTACGTTTAATTGTAAAATAAAATAAATGCAAGTATTCTCTGTCATTATTACTCCATGCCAAATATAATTTTAAAGCTTTAATCCCAATTCCAGTCCCAGTCCCAGTCCCTCTAAATTTAGGCCTGTGTACCAAGCCAGGCCTTATGGTATTGCACTAGCTGCATCGCGAGGTTGTAGTACTACCCAGGTTGAGAGTCCTGTAGGGCAATGCAGCTAAAAGTAATTCTTAATTTGAAGAAGAAAGAGAAAGTAATGGGGATTTAGTAGCGTTCTTCATGCTGGCTGCAAAATGAAAGATCCTAGAGTTGCGATAATTCAAATTTTTTGTGCAAAAAAATATGATTAGTCAATCCTTGTTCTGTCACAGAAAGGTGCAGCGCCTGTCACTGAGGGATCTGAAGAGGAGGACGAGGATGATATTGACTTTGACGATGATGATCTGGAAGGTCTGCTCCTTCCTCCCCCAAAATTTTTTTTCGATTTTTATATTTAATGGTTCAAAATTTTGAAAAGAATTCTGACAAATCGTATCTTTTTTCTTTCATCTGATAGCAGATGATGAAGATGATATGCTTGAGCATTATCTGGCTGAAAAATCCGACTCTTCTGCCCATTCTTCTAGAAGAGGCAGCTAAACTGCACATGTAGCATCAGCACATCTAGGATGGGTGTCTGCAATCCTTCATGAACTAGGGCAGGGTTGGGATAGAAGGAGAATTGGGTATTGAGCTGGAAAAGTGTGTGATGTATAACCTTTGTGTTTCCTTAAAAGCACTTAAACATGAAAATGGCATTTCGATTTGTTGTCTTCAGCCCTGAATCTATGAAAAGCATTAGCTCCTGAATGAGCATTTACTTTTAGCTGCTTTGAATGCTGCTACTGAACAAAGGATCCCACAATCCCCAGGTCTTTCTCCATCTTTTATCCTGTTATCCTTTGGTTTTGGAATAATAAAGAAGTGAGTTGCTCCCTTCCTTTTGTTTGGATGAGAAAAAATGGAAGGAAGAGGAGGGAAGCGGGATTAAAATGTAACGAAAACATAAGCTGTATATATAACCTAATGCAATATAAATACATTTAAAAAAATTTATCTTATAGGGTGGATGATTATTTTTATTCTTGAACTATATGTAAAAGTTTATAAATGATTTAAATTTACTTATAAATTATTTATGTCTTTCAACTGCAAAGAATTTTATTTTTTCTTATTCCTTCTGCTTGTTTTTCTATTAGCAGGGCCCACTTTTAAATTTTTCAAGCATTTTTTATTATAAAATATTGAATGGTGGGCCCCACATTATTTTTTAAAATATTTTTTATCCTTTCCCCTCTCCCTCCCCCACGTCAGACTAAGACATTATATTTAATATTGCCTCTCCCCTTTCTTCTCTCCCCCACTTCCTCATTCTTCATCAATCCCCATCGTCATTTTCCTCCTTTGCAATATTCGTGTCTTCTTCATCACATAGTCCACCATGATTGGTTCTCTTGATGCTACCGAACCAAACACCAACAATGTGGATTCCGTTCTCGCCAATAGCTCTACTACCATCCCCAGAACCTCCTCTTGTTTTAGTCGCCTTCGATGCCACTCTTGGCCGCTTCATCCCCTTGTCCAATTCTGCATGTTCACTTTCTCCTCTTCTTTCTCTCCTCCCCATGATGCTCAAATAACTCCTTTTCTGGGGAGATGCAATTTTCAAGACCAGCTCAAACCAAACATGATTATTCACTTGAAGGTTGATCCAAACTCCAACGAGTTATTCACCTTGAGCTACAATGTCTTCTTGAAGCCATACCTCAGATACTTGAGGTTCTCACTGCACGAGGACGACTAGAGAGCCCTCTCAAGCTCGGCGAGGTGACTAGAGAATGACAGATAGGATTGGAGGTAGATAGGATTGGGCTCGAGGGACCAAGTGGAAAATGTAATGATGAAGCCGGTGGGCACATGCTTTATTTCACAATCACAAAATAGAGCAAACATGCGTTTATGGTGAAAATGTTTTTTTTTTTTTTTGGGGGGGGGGGGGGACAAGAAGCACTGGAATTGGTGCTAAAACTGGCATTTAATATCTAAACTTAACACAAAGATCTCAACATTGTTCCATCACTTGATCAAGCACTCGAGTTAAATTATTATATAGAAAAGAAGTAGCTTCACTGGACACTAAATATGAAAGGGAGCAAAAGTTGTGGAGTTACCCGTACAAAGTGCTTGAAAGTTTTCTGCAAGAAAGAGCACAGAAGGAGAGGATAAAAAATATTCAAAAGAAGGAACGTGAGACCCACAATGCAATATTTCATAATTAAAAATGTTTAAAAATTTAAAAGTGAGCCTCGCTAATGAAAAAACAAACCAAAAAATGGTAAAGTGATAAGACAAAAAAATTTAAAAAAATGAGGGATATAAATATTCAATAATTAAATTTAAGGTTATTTGTGAATTTTTGTTTATAATTCAGAGTCAAAAATAACACTTAACCTTATCTTTTATATTTGTATAAAAGTAATAAGACAATAATCACATCAACTACTTTCTTTTTTTTTAAAAAAAAAAGAAATCTGTACATATCACCCCTTGTAATGAAGTATAGGCGATGCTCAATATATTAAGAATTTTGATATACTCATACTGTTGTAGCGTATGCCTTCAATATAAAAAATACAAAAAAAAAAAAGCATGATTAACAAATGGTAAATTGTGCAACTTTTATTCAGCTTCGTGCATTTTCTTTTTAATATTTTTTCAAACAAATTCTTTTCCTATTGCTGCCAAGCATCGGATGTTAACAACTTAACATGTCTGCAGAGAAAACATCTCTCTTTTCAACCCATTTTGGTGGCGCTGAGGGTGTCACCATTTCTCATTTGGTGCATTTCCCTCCACTTCTTCAAAACGGCATCGTCTGAGTGGCAGAAAAAAAAAACAAAAGAAAGCCAAAAAAAAAAAACAAAAGAAAGCCAAATAATGTGTCGTTTTCCACTCCACCACCAGCGCGCGGGAACTTCTCCATTTTTCTCATTCATCCAGAATAGAGACGTGCTCACACAGCCAAAAGAAATTTGACCAAAAAAAGATTTCAATTAAGGAAGGATTTTGATTGTAATTTGGTATGGTTCCATTTTTTTTTATGTACTGATCATTTCTATCCCTCATTTAAACTTAAAACTTACTGAACGTGGTTGCCATTCTCTCTCTCTTTCTCCCTTACATTGGTCATTTTCCTCTCCTGTTTTTATGTTTAAATTTATTTTGAAACATATTACTAATTTGCCATGGACTTGTGCTGCACAGAAATTTTTTGATGATAGTCACAGCTACAAGAAAGTAATGCTGACCATTTAACACATTATTATCCCTTAGCTTTGCATAAATGAATGCATCACCAAGCTCTTAGGTTATTTTTAAATTCATTAACAGTTTTTTGTTAACTCTCATGAATAACAGTGTTTATTTATTTTTTTATCTGCTTACTCTTGCTTTTAGTGTTTTTGTTTTTCAGCTTTTCTTGTTAGCTTTAAGTAATGGACACAAGTATGACTCCAACAATTGGTCTTGAATTTGATGATCTAGAAGAGGCATGGCAATATTGGATTGACTATGGTGAAGAATAGGATTCAGTGTTAGAAAGCAAAACTCTAATAAGAGCAAGAAGGATGATTCTATCATATATTGCAAATATGTTTGTTCCAAGGAGGGAGTGAAAAAAGCAGATAAAAGAGACTTTAAAACTAAGAAGCCTCGAAAGGAAACAAGAACAGGGTGTGAAGTGAAAATGATAATTAAAAAGGTGAATGAAAGATTTAGAGTTAGTGAACTATTTTTGACCATAATCACCCTTTAGAGCCCCTAGAGACTATTCATTTGTTAGCATCACAAAGGAGATTACCGAAAGCACAAGGCTATGCTTTGGAGGTTGCTGAAGATACAGGGATTAAGCAAAAAGCCTCTTTTAATTTAATGAGCAAATATGCAGGAGGGAGGGCTAATTTGGGGTATACCAAAGAGGAGGTAAAAAGTTATCTAAGATCAAGGAGGCAACGAGACATGATCTATGGTGAAGCTGGTTTCTACTTCGCTATTTTCAACAACAATTAAGAGAAAATCCTTCATTTTTTCATGCTTATCAAATGGACCCAGAAGAGCAGATAACTAATGTGTTTTGGGCTGATACACGTATGTTGATAGATTATGATTTCTTTGGAGATGTCATTTCATTTGATACAACATACTCTACAAATCGTGACAACAGACCACTTGCCATTTTCTCAGGTTTCAACCATTACAGAGAAGTAGTGATATTCGGTGTTGCTTTATTATATGATGAGACTATTGAGTCTTTTAAATGGCTTTTTGAAACCTTTTTACAAGCACATAAGCAAAAAATGCCATGTACTATGTTTTCTGACCAAGATGCAGCAATGGCAAGAGCTTTGGAAGAAATAATGCCAAATGTAAAGCATGGCTTATGCACATTCCACATTAATAAAAATGGGATGAAACATCTTGGAAACTTAATGAAAGATGGCTCTCGTTTTCTAAGTGAGTTTAATTGGTGCATGTATCATTGCAAGGAAGAAACAAGGTTTGAGGAATCTTGGAAAGAATTATTATCAAAATATAATGTAGAAGAAAATCCATGGTTGATGTCTATTTACAAGTTAAAAGACAAATGGGCAGCATGTTACATGAAGTACTCAAAGACTCTTGGTATGAGAAGTACACAACTTAGTGAAAGTATCAACTCATTTATAAAAAGTTGCACTAATCCTGAATTGAATATTAGTCAATTCTTCAATGTCTTTGAACAAGTTGTTGTGGAATAAGCGGTATAATGAATTGCAAAGTGATTTCAACTCACGCCAGAAGTTGCCAAGGTTGATTTTGAAGAGTTCGTCTATGCTGCAACAGCTTTCTCAAGTTTACACACCATCAATTTTTGACTTGTTCCAGCATGAGTATGACTTACGTGATGCTATGTGTATAAAAGAGAGGAAAGAAAGAAAAATAGCTGCAGATGATGATGCTCTTATTATTGATTATGTAATCACAATGGTTGATAAAAAAGGAGAGTGGAGATTGACATTTGAGCCATCAAGAGAAGATAAAGAGGCTGTCATTACTTGTAATTGTAAGAAGTTTGAACAATGGGGAATTTTGTGCTGTCATGCATTGAGGATATTATATGACCAAGATGTAAAGCTACTTCCAAAGCAATATGTGTTAAAGAGGTGGACAAAAGAAGCAAGGTGTGGTGTAGTGCATGATAGTAAGGGAAAGGAAATTGAAGTTGATCCTAAACTAGAATGCTCGAATCGATATAGGCAATTGTGCCCTATGCTCATAAAATTAGCTAGTGATGCATCTGAATGTCCAGAGGCATTCTTTATGGTTCATCAAGCAATGCTAGAGCTTAGCAAAAAAGTGTCTCAACTTCTTAGTAACCACTCATCAGATAGTGTTAATAATGAAGGGGGTGTTGATGATGATGTTGGTAAGAATGATGGTTCATGCATTGGATTCAAGAAGAGAGAACGCAAAAAGATCAATCCAAGTTGGGTTGACAATCCAAGTCAAAAAAGAAAAAAAGTTAAGACTTCAAAAAAATCTACTAACAAGTCTTCACAATGTTCAAAGGTATAATTTTTTTACTTTGAATTTTTAATAGCATGATTTTTTATGACATTTAACCGATATTCTTGCAGGACACACAAAATATATTAGAAGTGGGTAGATCATCATCTTCGGTGCAATATGGCCCCCCTGTGTCAAATATGCCGGTGCAAGTGCAATGTGGCCCCCCTGTGTCAAATATCCCGGTGCAAGTGCAATATGGCCCCGTTGTGTCAAATATACCAGTACAAGTGCAAACTGGCCCCTTCATGCCAAGTATGTCGGTGCAAGTGCAAAATGGCCCCTTCGTGCCAAGTATGCCTGTGCAAGTGCTATATGGTCCCCCTATGTCAAGTATGCCAATGCAAGGACAATATGGCCCCACCGTGTCAAGGATGTCGGTACAAGGGCAATATAGCCCCCCCGTGTCAGGTATGCTAGTGCAAGGGCAATATGATCTGCCTGTGCCAAATACACCAACAACAACACAACATGATCCACTTCAAGTAAGCCAAATGTCATTCACAACATTGACAATGGTAAAGATATTATATTTCAAGTTCTCATTCTCAACTAACTTAAATGCTATTCACAATATATTTCATACTATTGTCATTTTATTTTTGTGTTTGTAGGATTCATTGAACAATAATGTGAAGTCACTTGAAGCAATTGAATTTAGTCAAGTATTTGAAAAGGTAAATCATTGTCTAAATGTATTGAAACTTCTATTACAATTCAATTACATTACATTGTTTGAATATAAATTGTTACAATGTTACAGATTCAAATTTGAATGTCAATACAAATCCTCAACTGTGAAGTCTTCATTTCAGTCTAGCCTCTTGCTTCAGTCTCCATTCTGTTCTTAGCAATATACACTTGTGGGCTGGTCCTCTTTTTTGTCATGCTAGCTCCTTGCTTTGATGTTTGTTCTTTTGCTCTAATGCTGCCCAAATTTGTAAGCTTGTTTTAGTGTATACTTGTAAGCTTGCTTCTTCCCATTTTGTAAAGCCCAAACAAATTTCTATTTTTGAAATCTGCACAACTTAGAGTGTAAGAGAATTATCCTTAGACAAGGAAGAAAATAAAGCAACACAATTCCTAAATGATTAGGTGGTCTCTAGTCTAAATGATTAGGTGGTCTCTTATCAATTTACAATTGCAGCTGGGCTTGGCAAATTTATACTGCATATGCAAAATTCTAATGCATGTGCAAAGTTAATTTTCACTATGGGCTTGGCAACTTTCGAATAAGATAATACTAAGCACTGTTCCTCAAAATATATATATATATATATATATTAAAACTGAACCAACTGTAAATTGAGGAAACGTCCAGCCTACATAAAATCAATGTTACAATGAATCATACATGAGAAAGCTTCAAAATCACTTAGCATCTCTCTCAATCTCACTCATATTACATAAGAATCAGTTGGGTTAGGTCAATCATAAACCACTACCAAGTTAGCAAAGTGGAGAAAACAAGAGAAAAATAATATATCAGCAACAATACCAAACTATCCACGCTTGTTTCACCAGAAATCGGCCAAAACCACAGAAATTAAAAATAGGTAATTCTCATAATCAACAAGGCAAACAAATATAGTGCATAAACTCAAGGTGCAACTAAAACCAGAGAATGACAGAAGCATAACAGAGCAAGGACGAGGTTCCTAGGGCTGTGAAACAACTTTGCAACTTTGCACATGCCTTGGCACATTTTGTAATCAACTTTGCACTGTACTTTCTTAATTTACAATTGTGGTTTCCAAGCATTCATATATATAAAGAACCATCAAAATGGTCGGTTGGCTGGATAAATTCAGCCTAGAATTAAGGTCCAAGAATCAATCATCAGAGCTGCCTAGAATTGCCTTAAGCTTCATTACTACTCTCAAATATTCTTCTCATCTCATTCTCAGCATTCCAATAAATTCCAGAGCAAACACTTCCATGATAGTTGTTTCGAATATCTTTCCTAAATTTGAGGCTAGGTTAGTTTTTTTCGTGCTCATCTTTGATGAGAAAAAGGGAAATATACGAGAAGGATATAGAAAAGATATGAAAACTCAAATAATACCAATTGTCATAATTATGTTTTCATCTGAGCAAACATTCATATAAACCTTGTCCTGTTCAGAATCGTAATTGAGAATCATTAATTAAGCCACCTCCAACGACAACCCAAAGGATAAACAGAAGACAAAATTTTCATAATTGATATAAAGAGTCATCAATTAAACATTCTCCTATTCAGAATCGTCCTCATTGAGAGGTCAAAGGGATCAATGAAGAGATAAATAAGCAAAACACTAACCTAGATGAGGAGATAATTGAGCCGACGACGAGAGCAAAGAGGTCAACAGGGAGAAGACGAGGTGAAGAGAAGCGAGGAAGCTGGAGTTGAAGCCCGATGCGAGTCCGATGGCGCTGGTGGAAGTGGAGTAAATTGGAAGGTGGCCAGTGGGGCTCGGAGGAGTGAGATGACGATTCGATTCAGACTTTAGAGCACAGCATCGAGATCAGTCTCTCAGATATCCTCCCCATTGAGCCGACGATGAAGGAAGAAAGCAGTGCCGAGAGCGAGATGAAGGAAGAGAGCAGTGCCAAGAGCGAGACAAAGGAAGAGAGGGAGAGGACTGCATCTGAGGGTGTGAGGATGGATAATGATGCAGACGGTCAGGATAGCAATAAGAAATGAACAATGAAGATTTCACTATTAATCAAAACGGTGTCGTTTTGAAGAAATGGAGAAGAAATGCACAGAATGGGAAGTGGAGACACCCTTCGCCCACTTTGGTGGGACATTGATTTGGAAAAGATCTTTCATCCAGCAACTGCAAAGTACCTGATCGCTATCACCTACTTATAAATTTAGGTATGTTTGGTTTCTCTTTTTAAAAATTATTTTTTGTCTTTCAAATTAACTTTTTTTGGATTTACTTGTTTTTTAAAATTGTTCTTTTTTTAAAAAAATAGAAACATCTTAAAATTGTTTTCATTATATTTTTTTATTTTCAAAACATACTACATTTGATTATTGAAAAATATAGTTAGCTTAATCCATTTTTATTATAAACTACTACCATTAAACAACTGCAACCATCTCTATCATCTTATCTTTAATTCTAAAATTGGTTTTAAGTTAACATAATCAAACAGATTTTCTATTTATTTTTTTTGAAAAACAATTCTTGAAATTGCATTATAAAATAATTTTTAAAAATAAAAAATAGGAACAGAGATCAAACAAGTCCTAAATCAACAGAATATTATTTTGGCAAGATTTCAATTGCTTCTTGTGGAAAATTAATATAACCCCTCAAATTATACTTTTTAGTTGGAAGCTGATAACGGATGCCTTCTCAATTCATTTCTTTTTTGTATAAAAAAATTTAGGTTAGATGGATCATGAGGCTTACTTCTAAACTCAAAAAGATGCTTATAGAAGTAATGATAGATCACTAATAACTTTGTAACTTAATGGCATGCAAGCTCTCTTGTAAATGAGAGGTCGCCGGTTCGATCACACTTATAACTTTGGATCATTAGTGTCTACCTCTCTAATTAAAAAAAAATCTATTTATAGATCATCTGTTGTATCCGCTTAAATAATTCATACCATGGTAGAATAGTTTAAAACTTATAAATTATTCTAAAACTATTTATAAATATGAGATCTCAAGTTTAAAAGTAAGTAAACATTAGAGTTTGCAAACATTTGAAAGTATAGGATACCAATAGTGGTTAGAAAACATTTTTAAATGGAATAAAACTCATTTTCCTAAAAAATTGGGTCATCCATGTGGCGGATCACCCTTGCACCATGGCTTGAACCTTTTATGGTGCGTGTTGCAATGAAGGTGCTATCCATCGCCACACACTGAACAAAACTCATGACAATAACTTGTTGTCATGACATGTGGAGGGACCAAATTTTTGGCATATCCTAAATTTTTGTTCAATGTTCGATTGAAGTAATTTAAGTATCCATGAAAACTCATTTAATCAACTAGTTAATGACACTTGTTTCATTTCCAAATAATGCCATTTAAGAGAGTTGGATACTGAAACCAAAACAACCTCATTTTCACACTTAACCACTTTCAAGGTGCCTAAATTTCACACCAAGTGCCAAAGCTTAGACCAACACTTAGACTATATTCAATCTACATAGGACAACATGTGTAATGCACCGCATCATGAAATTATCACACATATAACATTTTTATCCCTCAACCCCATCTTTAACAAAATCATTAGGAGGAGGTTTCTAATAAAAAATTTCCACATTAAGCATTTGCATGTATCAAATAACCATATCTATATTTGAACTAGTATTTTAGGTTAGCCTAGATATACAAATATATAACTTTAGTAATCATGGGCTTAAAATACAAACAATCACAAGTAATATGCATTTAGTGCAAGTATGATCAAAATTAACCCAGTTGATAATATCATATCTAATTACATATATAATTTCAAAATGTGAAAGGAGTTTATCATAAGCCTTAGGTGCTTTCCCTTTGTTCTGACCAAAGCTAGTGCATGTAATATTATAAAATAAGGAAAAGTATGACTATTCAGTAACTAGAAAAACTCTAAATCACACATATGCAGGTCAACTAATCACATGCGTGTAAAGTGGGCAATTTAAAAGTCATATACAAAATTATCATCACATGATAAATCAAATGCATGATCAAAAACCTTGTCTCCTCTTAATTCTCTCAACTAAATGCGTGAGCTTGCAAATCAAAAAGGGCTACATTTGCATGAATAGACTAACCTAAGCTCACAAGTTGTAAGGAGCATCTTGGCCAAAGGCGCTACGCTCACGTTCAAACATGAATTCTCCCATTCTTGAATCTTTAAGGTGTCTATAGCCCTACCCTACACCTAATCTAAGCTGATGTTAAGAGCATAAGGATCTGAGTAACCTTCCCTACACCCACTTATAGGTAATGTTAAGGAAAACTAATGTTAAGAAATACTTGATCCTAAACCAAACACTAAGGCCACCCATGGTATTGGTATCCTCTACATGGATAAGAATCACTAACTCCCCTAAGGCAAACACTTGCCACCACATGATCAAGACACATAATCTCATGCTCACAACTCTAAGGCATATAACATCATCAAGCATTTGTATTCATATTCACAAATTTAGAATCTCTATAACTTTAATTTCACATATATCCATTATCATAGCAATTGCAAACTCATATATGTATGTATGTATGTATGTATGTAATCATAGCCAAAGACAGATCTACATCTAAGCCAATGGAGACAGCTGCTCCTACTATACCAATATCATCTTAGTTGCGATAGGGAACAATTTCACTTTCTCCCTCCAAAAAATTGTCATTCCCCCTCCCTAAAATATTGCTCTTGCATCCCTTAATTTTTTTTTTAAAAAAACCTCAGTCTTTACTCTTTATTTCCTAAACATTTTCTCACTCATGCAATCACGAAAGTTAATATTATTTTTATTATAGGAGATAGAGATATAGAAACTAAAAAAAGTGTTTGTTCATATTATAAATATAAGTATATAATTCTTCAACACCTATAATAAAATATTAATCTTTATTTTCTAAAATATAATAAGGCCAAATTCTTTAATTTTTAAGTTATATTCATTCATACTCAAAGCTAATACTTTCTAGTAGAATATAAAATATTTTTAATGGTTTGTATTGAAAAAAATTATTCTAAAAGATCATGATTCTTTGCATTAAAAAAGAGAATCAGTTTTTGATATTAATAGCTGCCATTTATTCTATCATTTTCAATATAATTTTTCTTATATTAAGATAATTTTTTAAAATTTATTATAATTTTATAGTTGTTTAATATTTCTTATGTATTTGATTTTAACAAATTTATTTTTTATTAATTTAGTAAATATTTATAATTATATTTATAAAATATTAATATTGCTTCTAGGTCCATCACTGATCACACCCACACTTGCATATTTTTATAAAAACCATTTTAACATATTCCAAAAAAATATAATCACGTGTTTCACAAATTAATAAACACCCATAATCAACTAGCTAGCAATCAACACAATATAAAATCTCTCAGTTATTTCAAACTTTCAGGATACCAAAGGTTATTCCAAGTAAACTTGCTTTGCAGGCAATAATCCGAGCCCAAAATAGTGCATGACATAGCTAATCTACAATTGAGCAATAACAATAATCAATATAATTTACATCAACACCATTTTCAACACTTTAACTCTCACACAATCAACCCAAAGTTCCAACCTCTTCTTGGGTTTTCTTACAACCAATGGGTGTATTAACTTTGTTTAACTCTCATAAAGTTAAATACAATAATTAATGGCTCCCAACCACTCCAAATCATCACTTTAATGCCTTAAATTTGTCCAAAAATGAGGACTCACACATATGGACGCACAAAATCATCAATCCTAGGTGTATAAAGCTTAAACAACTCCTATTTAAATTAATGAGTTCAGACCCATGACCTTAGAGTTTGAAAATCATTCTCCCATTGCAACCCTAACTCAAAAGTGAAGTAATATAGGAGAGAAATGATAGATGGAAGCTTACGTAGGTGTAGAGAAGCTTGAATCACTCTCAAGATCATGGTATTGAAAACCGGACCAGACCGGCCGGGTCAACCCGGAAACCGGTGAACCAGTCCCCTGTCCGGTCTGGGTTTGCTCTTAACCCGGTAAGGGAGTAAACCGGTGTAACCCGGTCAACCCGGGTTCAACCCGGTATAATCCGAATAACCCGGTGGGTTGACTGGGTTAACCGGGTTAATATTTTTTCAGACTTTTACCCCAAAACGACGTCGTTTTTTATTTTTTTTATTTTTAATTTTTCAGAGCTCTGAGTTCGGAAAAAAGATAATAAAAAAAGTGAAATTGAAGTCAAAAAATGAAAAATTAGAGATAGAGCATGCTAAGTCCAAAAATAAAGTATTTTATTATTGTTAGACTTTTGAGTGGTTGGATTTGGTTGAATATTTTTATAATTAATGTCTTTTTATTTAAATTGTATTATTTTAATCATGACCGGTTTGCCACCGGTTCAACCCCCGGTTCAACCCCGATTGAACCACTAACCCGTGACCCAGTGCCATGACCGGTTTAATGACCGGTCCGGTTTTACATACCTTGCTCAAGATCCCTAGAAATCAAGCCTTAGAAGACCCCCAACTCTATCTACCACTCCCTCTTCGTTTCTTTGCTTCTTCCTTAATGCTAGACATACGTTCTTATTTTATGATTTTGGCCATTTGCCATAATGGATGGTACAACAAGTCCAACTTGCATTTTATCACTTATAATTGAGCTCAAGTGGCCCAATACCCCTCTGAGCCTGATCCAAAGACTATGAACAATTTCTATGGACTCATTAGCCATCTTAAGCCATCCTAAATCCATTTATGCCTAAAAATTATAAAATAATCGTTCACTAACTTAATTAACTAGAGATTAAAATTTGAGATGTTATGTTACCCACCAATAAGGTAAACATTGGTAGCGGAATTTGCCTACAATTTGGTGGGTTATGGATCAAATACTTATCAACTAAATTAACTTTTGTTGGTAATTTAAAATATTTTGACTAAGCAACATTTGAATACGCAAAAACAAAACAAAAAAAAAAACTTGTTGTCTTTGTGGGGGAATGTGAGGAGTCTAACCAAGGAACATTTTTTTCTTAACTTGCCCATTTTCAAGATCCGTTTGGCTTGGATCATAATTGGGGCCCAGAATTGAAAAGGGCAGTTCTATGGATTTTATTTCACACATAGTTGTGGAACTTATTTTAAGAATGAGGACGCTTGGAACGTGACAAATGAGAGGATTTTAAGAAATCATGATTACCTTATTCTTCGTTTGACACTTGGAATTTATATTAAAGGCGTCAAACTCGATCCAAAGAAAAAGAGTTCACTGCTGGTACTTCAAAATCCAGTTATTCTTTGTGGGGAAATTTCTCTTCACATGGAATTTTAAATCTGGAAGACGCAAGAATAAGCAACTTAAAGCGTTGTGGCAAGTCTAATAGTAAGTGAGGTTCATTTCATTTCAACATATCATTTTTTTAATGAAACTACGATACATTAATAAAAAAAGGATTATACAGCGTGATTCATAACAAAAATAAATAAATAATTGTTTTTTGTCGACATCCATCTCCTCTTTATGACAAAGTTGTGGTTAATCAAAAGTACAAAATTTATCTATTCTATTATCAGCATGATTAGCTAAATAATAAGCACATAAGTTGACCTCTCTAAACATACAACTTAAAGGTACAAAACCATTACTATAAAGATGATTTCGTGCCCGACCAATAATGTCTTTGTAAGGGTATTGTTCTACATTAACTCTAGTAATAAGATTAATTGTATCAGCACAATTAGCGAAGGCTTTAAAAAGATTTAAATGGTAACAAAGTTTCAGTTCCTAAATAATCCCAATAATCTACTGGGACTGCGAATTACTCTACAGTCATAGGGCGGATCATTCATAATATTTAGAACATGTCCAGTGATTTTCCTAACTTTTATGAAACTCATGGACTAAATTCCTCTTGTTCTTTTCTTCTTTTTCCTAAGTCTAGGTCTTTCATTTCTTAATGTTATAAACTTAAAATTCTATACATTTATTATTATTATTATTATTATTATTATTATTATTATTTATATAAAAAAGAGACATGTCTGCAAATATTACACGAGCTATGTGAATAACATATCGCATGACATTTTTTGAATGTAAAACTGGATATCACTAGCAAATCAAAAGGTTACATCAAAAACAAAAGTCAAGTCTATCTTCCCTCATCCTTAGTCGCCTCTTGATAAAGAGGTAGAGGATGATCAGTGATGCAAAAGCTCCCCCCTAAGCTATGGGATTAGTAAGCAAACATATGATCTTGACCATTTAGCTCTCTATTAACATGTTTCAAAATAACCTGCCAATCCCCATCGTAAAGACTTCTAGCTCCATCAACTATGGCCACAAAAGGATGGTTCAAATCACATCCTCAAGTGACCAAGTTAACCGCTTCTATACAATCCGTATAAATTTCGATCTTCCTAAGCCCTTGGACCAACAAATCTTTCAACCATTAACATTTTAAATGAGGGATAATATTTTCAATTTTGCAGCTATTTCAATATCGAAAGATTCAAATTCATCATATTGAACTTCATCAAGGATTAATTATGGCCAAGTCACAGTATTCATACAGTATTAATATAAAACTGATTACCTTACACTACACAAAGTGCGGACCCATAAACCAGTCATTTTATATAAACTTTTATTTTAAATTAATCTAATCAATTTATAATGATATTAATTTTTTTAATTGTAAACTTAGTCAATTAAAAATTTGTAACTTATTTCAAAATAACTACCCAAAATTGTGAAAATTCTTAAAGACGCAGACCTTTGAATCTTTACCTAGCGCAATCTGATCAAAGTCAAGGATGCAGAAGTTCATGGGAACTTTCTGGCTTGTATCTATCAATTTCTTTGTTGCATGCTGAACTACCTGAGATTAAACAAATTATGAACTTAACCACTGATTCTACAATTCCTCGGAGCTGAGCCTAGCTCAACCTGTTTCAAAAGGAAAGGAATATTAAATTGATCAAAGATGCTTCCCATAGATCAAATATGAAAGGTCCGGCTAAACAAAAATGCCGGATCTGCGCTGAGAAGAAATATACATGAACCCAAAAAAATTAAAAAAAAAAACAAAAAACAAAAGAAAGAAAATTTATGTACAAATCTATGGTTACAATGAGATTTGTAACAAAAACCAGCGCAAAATCAAATCTACACAAGAATTTATCTACCCTGTTGACTTTCATGTACCACCCCAAACTTCTAAAGCTTGAAGCTAGAGCCTTTAATTTTCTGTATTGGATACACAAGGGCACTTGCTATCATCAATCTTTAGTATACGAGCGAGCAAAGTCTTTGATCCTTTGCTTCAGTTGCTGCAAGAACCAGGTAAAATAGGTGTGAGGAAATATACAGAAAAAGGTAATAAAACTTGAAAATTAAAACCACAGAAACGGGTACTATGTAAGTTTTTTTAAAAATAAAAAAACAGATCCAGAGGAAGAAAATTCAAATAGCTACCTCGAGTTCCCCATGCAGCACGATAAATATTTTCTTCAGTCTCTTGTGCCTCTGCAATTCAAATCACGCACACAAGATTATAAAACAGAAAGCATACAGATGATGTTAGATAAGAGAGGCTCAGTACATCTATTATTAATAAACAGAAGGGTTCAGAAACAGTTGAGGAACAAGAAAATGAGAAAAATGGAATTAGGCAAACATTTGATTACCATATCAACAATATATGGATAGGAGAAGCCCTATAAAACATACCTCTCCACATCGTTGATAGGATTCCTTCAGCTGCCCCAAGATGTTATAATATCTATCCATATCCCTGCCTTTAGCATATTCCAAGTCCTTGCCAAGTTTAAGAAACTCATTCCTGCAAGTTTTCAGGGAGATGATAGATCAACAAACCAAAAACCCACCAGAAATTCAAAGACACCTTAAATTGCAAGGCTCATTACCTGTAACTCTCCAGAATCTTGTTCAAGGAGCAGTAACTATCATATTTGTCACGATACTCGTTAACATATTCCTTATATCTAGCATAGCAAAGGAAACATATATCAGGTGCAAGAGTTCAGGTGATTTTAACTCGGGAACTTTTAGAGTGATAAAGATGGAAAAGAAAAAGAATGAACACTTACTGGGAGAAAGTCCTTATAGGTCCCTTAAGCTCAGGTTCATCCTTTTCATACTTTGAATAAGAGCAACTATTTTCATCTGAAGAAGATTCTCTCCTTTTTTGATCACTGTTATTTCTATCTGCCAAAACTAAATCCTTCCCTCCATCAGCCATCTCTTCCAATGGATTGGATGTTTGTCTTCGACCTTCCTTCATGGAATTGGAAACTGTTCCACGTTTAGAGTCATGTTTAAGTGCATCAGTAGGCCCTCTTCTATTGCTTTCCCTTCCTTCCAAATCAATACCTTGACTCACCCCAGCTTCATTATTTCTAGATCTACCATTTATTTCAGGCAATTTGTTGATCTGGGAACCAGCTTCCATGTGATCTTTCACATGCTGTGGATGAGACTGCAGTGCTTTAGCATGGGACCTTGTTGAATCTTCAAAATGATCATCTGCATTCTTCTTTTTATTCGCACTTTCCAAATTGCTCAGAAAACTAAAGCCTACAAGGGATGGGGATCGTTTTCCGGATTCAAGAGTAGTTTTTGATGAGGATTTTACTTTAGAAACATCTGGATTTTTGTCCTCTGAAGTGCCTGCTCTATTTTCCAAATGTTTAAATGAACTTTTTCTTTCAAATTGCTTAGTGACATGAGTTTCATCAGGAGTGGATTCACGAAGTTCACCCAACTCCAAGTCAGAAAGCTCTCTTTGAAGAGTGATACCTCTCCCATTGATAACTGGGGATTTCCTAGGACCGATTAGGTTATTGTCCTTAGGTGAAGTTCCTGGGTGTGAGGGTGCACCTTGTCGGCCTTCCCTAAACTTCCCTGACATTTCACTTAGCTTTTGGTAATTCGAATCTGAGGACACTAACTGTTTACTTCCATTGCTACCTTCCCTAGATTTCCCGGGGACCTTTCTCCCAGAGGTGTAAATATCATCATTTTGGGATTCTCTCTGAGATTTATCATCCATAGAAGGACCTTCACGCAAATGAAAACCCTTTTCTGAGTGTTTTCTGCTGCGCCCTAAACTTTCACCATGCCTATCAGTTTTTCCTAACGGATCTGGAGGCTTCCCCAGTGAGGTTTGATCAAATGTTCTCTGAAAATCTGAAGATTTTGTGGAAAATGATTGGTTGTATCCTTTCTGTAAACCAGCGTTCAAATTCCCTTGTCTATCAGATCTATTAACTGCTTGTGCGGTAGGGCCCTTGAAAGTGTCTTCCGACAAACTCTTGGAATTTTCTGACATCTGCACATCCATACCAGCAGAACCCATTGCTTGAGTGAAGTTATCTGTTTTCAACTTCTTTGTACGTTCAGACTTCTCATCAAGGCTCTTCACATCAGAACCCCTCTTGTGTTTTCCACTAGATAGCCTTTCAGAGCTGTCAGACAGGTCATGCCTTGAGCTAACCTTAACTGTATTTTTCCTTTCATCAAATAAACTTCCTATATAATTTTGGCGTTCCTGGAAATCATCACAATCTGGGTAACAGTGCTTGGTCTCTTCTGAAGCTTTTCCACCTTTGTTAAAAATGGTAGTTGTGGTTGGAGCTATTTCAGCACCCTGTTCCTCAGGTAAGTCTTTTTCAATCTCAACTACATCAGATTCATTACCATCTTGCTTCTCATCAATTTCATTCTGCATAGATCTACCATCAGGTGATTTTACTGGAATAAGTGATGGCACCCTTTGATCAGAGACTTCCATTTTGAGCTTTGACTCTTTTTCATCATCACTTGTCATAATATCTACATCCTCGTCAGAACCCTCCTTGCTGTTGGATGATGCATCACTTTCGCTGTCACTACTGCTCCCACTCCCTGTTCCAGCAGGACTCCTACTTCTGCTCCTGCTATGGCTTCCACTGTCACTTCCACTACCACTGCTGTCACTTTCACTGTCACTGTCACTTCCACTATCACTAGAGCTGCCTGCCTGCCCTTCACTACAATCAGAGCCCTTTTTGTCATCAAAGACATTAGGAGAATTTTGATGAACATCAATTGTATTCAGTGTGTTGGATTCTTCTCCAGCTTTGGAGTTAGATTGCACGTGTTCCTCCACATTCTCATTTGGCACTTTCTCTTCAAAGCCTCCCTGCAGTGCAGGTGTTTGATCATGAAACTCTCCATGAGCAGAAATTCGGTGGAGATTGTCTTCAGGCGAACTGTAGAAAAATGATAATATGTCTTTAAACACAAGCAGGGGCATAAACAAAACAGCATACATATTGAGGGTTATAATCATATTAACTAAAATTTCCAAGTTGAAAACTTCTTTAAACAACGGAACTAAGTTCATATAAGTAATGACAATCATACCAAAGGAAAAATAGGAGCATCATTAGTCATTGCATTGATTACATGAGTAAAGTAGCACATTAGCATTTTTAATATTTGATGATGGATCAAGAAAAATAACAGCTACCTTCCACTTTCAGAAAGAGGTTTCTTGAAGCTTTCCAAATCCACTCCAGGTTTCAATATATACCTTCCTGGTGCTTGGAATGTTGCAATCTGGTGATCAAGATTGAAAATCAGGTAAAAAAAGTATCAGAAAAGAATTGCCTCAAAAGAGTTCCACTGCTTGCCTTTTTTATGATAGGTTCAATTTTCTTTGAGGAATTTGGAAATGTATCTCCAACAGCTTTCTCCAAGGCCTATAATCAAGGGGCAAGATAGATAAGAAGATAAAATTGGATTAACGAAGAAGCTTAAGATGCATTTATAAGATGGATTCACACCCTTATAGTCATTCCACTAGGTTTATCCATGAGAAAAGAAATTAACAAGCTCTGCAGATCCATTGATTTAGCACCATTATTCCCTTTGCTTCCTGGTGTCTCCCTCACTGCACTGTCTATCCTAGTAGTATTTTCTTTCTCAGAGACAGTAGTAGTATTTTGCTTGCCCATCACCTGCGATGGCACATCATCAAGGTTCTTGAAGATATTTACAGTCCCCAGCGGAGAGGAAGGAGTGGCAAATTGCTCTGGTGGAGATGGAAGAGGAGAAGATGAATGTCTGCCTTTAGTTGCTGATGAAGACAATCCAGATTTATGCGTAGATTTTGGGGGGCCTCCAACTATAAAATATCCAGACATACAAATTAAACACTTGAGCTAAAAAATATTATAGATAAGACTTCAATAAAGCTAAGTATCATCATCTTAAAGATTGAGTAAATCTGCATCAGAAAGACAAGTTTTAACTACCTTGAGGAGTTTCCACTTTCCTTTTCTTAAGTGCAGCCTCTTTCTTTTTGGTATAATTCTTCCATGGAGTAGCTGGGCAAAAGAAAAATACAAATCTATACAATAAGGCAGTTACAAGAAAATAATCAAATTAAGTAAATAATGCTAAAAGGCTTTACCAGAACCTGCAGGGTTTTAACAAGAAAATTATCATTCCTAATATTAACAATAATAAAACATTCAAAAGTTCCTCGCACCATCATACATAAAGGAAGTATGGAATTTTCACAGTTTAATATCAATGACAATATTAAATTCTACTAATCTTTGTAGCATTATGGATTCAAAATTTAGCGGGCAAGCTATGTTACAAGAAGTAGCTGGAAACAATCAGATGTAAAATCATTTACTTCCTCAATCAGAATGGAACTTCTTGGGCGAATCTCTTCCACAACTAGTTTGAAATTCAAGTTTTGGAAGGTCAGGAGGACCTTGAATGATGAAAAAAAAAAAATCATAAATTACAGTTGACAAACTCACTTCATTATGCGTATATTTCCAGCTTATAGGCATTAGTTTAAGCACATTTGTTGCAGCTCAGTGAGGATGAGCTTCAGTAATTCCCATGGTTTTATCAATTATATTTAGTATAAGTAATACGGGAGACTTATTGAGCAAATTTTGCTCTGGACCATGGGCATGAGGGACCTCTGGGGTGGTTAGATGGAGAAAAGAACCCTCCTATTGAGACATTTAGTTGGTGCAAATTTTCAGAGGCTATTTAGATGGATTGAAACACTTTCCATTTCTTGAAAATAGCAACAGAAAATTTTCACAGGGGCCTCTGGGGTAGTTAAATGGAGAAAAAGTTCTCCTATTGAGACATTTAGTTGGTGCAAATTTTCAGGGACTATTTAGATGGGTTGATGTTCCTCAATACATTCTCTTTACAGGGAAGTTTAATTGTCACTCTTTTTAATATATTCTCTTTACACGGAAGTTTAATCGTCACTCCCGTGTAAAGAGAATGTATTAAAAACAATAAACCGAAACTCTGAATTATCAAACTTTCATTCCATATACTAGAAAATCATGTGCCAATTATCACGTAAAGTAGAGGGCGTGAGGTTCACAGCTCATACATGACTAGGAGGCTGGATTTTCAAAAAAATCATTTCTCTTCTCTCTTTCCTAACTGAAATCTTTCGCCATCATTTCTGGATACCAACAGAAAGTGCGCACTTGCTTGAAAAGACGTTAACAAACACTTGTTGCAATAGCTCTCCTGCCATACATCAGGAATCTATTTACAGACATAAAGCATCACCAAAATTGTCATTTTTTGAGCGAACTACAGCATGAAAAAGGATCCTAAAAAGGATAATTTAAGAAAGTGATGGGTATTTTTAATTTGTTTGTGTTTGTTTTTGAGGGGAAAAAAGAATATGTTAATGTGGGGGGGAATGAACTATGCTTTATTCCTTCAAGTGTTCCATCTTTTGAGTGAATTTATTTGACTGACTGGCAATGTCAACTTTAATTATTGGGAAAATGCAATTGTTGGTCCCTATACTTTTAGTGTGTTTTAGTATTAGTCCCTAAACTTCTTTTTCGTTGCTTCAAGTCCTTTAAGTTTCATATGTCAACAATGTTGGTCTTTATATTTTTTAAATATGATCATAAGAACTTAACAGTAGCTAATGTGTACATAAACACTATTATTTCTTGTGCAGACTTGTTAAAATTATGTTGCATCGTACAAAGAAATAAGTACTAAGGAAAAAAAAAAGACATTAAATTAGAATCTTTAAACGCATAATGAATTAAGCTTTAGAAGAAAGGTTAGTGGTAATTTTGCTCATATAATATCCAACTTATCATAAGTTTACCAACTTAGCAATAGAATTAATGAAGTTATGTACACATCAGCAGATTTAATTCTGTCGGTGACGATAAGGACTAACGTTTCAAACTGACAAAACTTAAGGGACTTGAAGCAATGAAAAAAATATAGGATCTAATACCAAAACATACTAAAAGTACAGGAACCAACAATTATATTTTCCCTAAACTATTCTCCCTTTTTCCTTTTTTCTTTTTTCTTTTTCCCCTTGCTTTGTTCTCTTTCAGAACATGTAATTCTCTTTCTAATAAATTATTCCCTTTCTATCCCAAAAAACAAAACCAAGAAAAAAAAAACCTGATTGTCTTGGCATAGCAAACACAGTAGCAGGCAGGGTATTCGACACTTTGGAATATATTCCAAATCCAACTAAACAATTTTACATCCATACATCAATGCCAGTCGTGGACTTCCAGTAAACAGAGCTTAATACAAGGAAAGGAGACATGAAAAAATAGAACTTAGAACATTGAAAAGAGACATGAAGTAAAAAGAGAACTTACCCTCAACAGCTGCCAAAGCCTTTATTTGACTCTTCATAGATGGATTTCCAGGTTCAAGGACAATGGCTCTGATTTAGAGAACAAAGAAAAGATCTTTGAGAAGGAAAAATTAAATAAACAAAAATTGGGTTTTTTTGGGGGGGGGGGGGGTAACAATATACAGTAGTGCATTAAGATACCACAAAAAGTGGTATATCAAGAGATAACTTTCCAATTGTTTCCACCAGATGATAAGTAATTCAAAATTTAAAATTCTTGATTGCACATGAGCATTTGAAAATTATTTGCCTCAGGAAAATACAGCAGATTAAATCAAGATTTCAACCAAAAAAAAAGAGTGCCTTCACAGAGAAGAGTGTTATATCATTCAGAGTTCAGTTAACTTGAATAGAAAATTAACTTTTGACTGAATGTTGTATACTGTAATACTATGTAGTAGGAAAACCAACAACTTGTTCCATTCAAATGAAAACTACCAACCTATGCACAGGTAACCTACAAAATTTATTTTTACAAAATAATCTAACTGTCTACACGACAATCCTGAAAGCATTGAGACTGCGTTTAACAAGAAGAAGAAAATGTGGAAAAGCTTCAGTATCAAGATAAGCTTGAACAGTATAATCTAAGAAACACTTGAAATTTTGGTAGAATCATGAAATGAACCTACAAATTCAAAATACAAAGGTAACTTTAAGGAATCATCTACCATTCACATGTTACAATCCAAAGAATGTCACCAATTTCATTTTCAACAAGTATATCACAGAAATAAGGCAAGTTTAGTAGGAGCAACATCAAATTGTCAAGCAAATAACAAGAAAGAGAATGAGGTAACAGCACATTGACAACTAGGAGTAGCAAGGGGAACCAATGCACAACCACAGAGTTAATATGATAGCAAGTAAAATATATCCTCATAAACAATTACACACTTGCGCGACTTGTTCTTGCGTTCAGCTTCCTCTGAACGCATTTTGACATGATTCTTAGTTGATTCATCCAATATACGCTGTACATTCAGCTTTCTCCAAGCAGAACCAGATTCAGCAAGCAGGCCTCTTCCATCTTCACCACTATGATGCTCCTCGTATATATCACAAAGGTCACCAAATTCTCGTGACCACGTAAATCTAAATTCCTTCCCACCAACATCAATAATCTGGAAAATTTACAGGGCATTTAAACATTATGTTTCAAATTAATACTAATTCATACACACACACACACAAATGGTAGTAGCTATGAACTAAGCCTCATGGATGCGTGAACTTGCATATGGAATTCCAGTATTAAATATAAAGAATATTATGAATATGAATTTTTTATGTTATAGAAAAAGTCAAAGCTGTCAACAACTTTGACCCCTACCCCTACCCCTCCCCCTCCCAAGGAAGAAAAACAAGATATTCCAAGAATCAATAATGAACAAAAATATCTATGACTGCCACTTTTAGCATGACTTGACTTGAGGGGCAAACACCACAATGCACAACAAGCACTGACTGTTCACTAGCTATAATTCTTGCCAATTGTCAAATCATAAATCCAGTTCAACTCCAACACCCCAATGAAAAGAATTGTCACTAACCAGCACCGCATAAAATATCATATTGGCAATGCTTTGCAAAAAGTAAATATTTATCAAAAATTAGGGAAGCTTCTTGTCATACATACTGCTAGATACAAGATTTCCAAGTTAGCTCTAGTCATATGAAATCCATATAATATAACTGCATATTGTGTAGCAGTCCGTCAACATTGAGATGAACTGAAGTAAATCAAGGAAGGCATAGATGACATAAACTAAACTAGAAATCCAAGACAGCTGGATAGCACTATATTACATGCTAATGATGAAATATATGACGGTCATAATGTACAAGTAACCTTCAAAATATGAGTATACAAGGGGTTGCCACGTTTATGCCAGCATAAAACATTTTCGCAGTATCGTATTGCTTTGGAGATAAAATATCTTACAAACAAGAAGAGCACATCAAGTAAGCAAAGTTTGCCTCCTGGTAAGAAAAAAATTAAAGAGAAGCCAAGGATAATTTAAGGGGCAGAAAACATATTCCCCCAAAAATGGAAATGAAGAGCAGAGAACAGATCAAAACTGGAAGGGAAAAAGGTGCAGCAAGGCGGTCCAATTATCTCCATTATTCCTCATCAAAGAGATAGAAACAAGTTATAACATAAGAAGGGTAAAATATGTCCTCACAATTTGCAAATCATGTACATCTCAAATGAATCTTTGATCATATACTGCATCTCAGTCTTTGAAAGTCATCTCAAACGAATATGTCATACAAAATTTGCAAATCATGTACATCTCAAATGAATCTTTGATCATATACTGCATCTCAGTCTTTGAAAGTCATCTCAAACGAATATGTTATACAAAATTTGCAAATCATGTACATCTCAAATGAATCTTTGATCATATACTGCATCTCAGTCTTTGAAAGTCTTCTCAAACGAATATGTTATACAAAATATTTCAATTAGTTATATTTTGCATAGCTAATTGAAATATTCAACCACATAGTGGTACATTGTACAGTCTTTAATGCTGGGCACGACAACACCAATCCCAAAACCTCCCCTTTCATATTCACTGCTGCAGCTTCATAAACTAACCTTGGGATTTTATACATATCAACTCCAATTCTCCAAAGAGGTTACTCAAACCGTCCGGGGGAGAATTCCTTTTCTACAAGCATTCCAGAGCTTCAACAAATTCTATAGTTCCATAGTCAACTTTTCCACATTCCAGGAAGTCAACAAAGTGGTAGACAATACACCAAAAAATTCCCGGAGTTATCATCAATGCTTTTCAAATTGAATACTAGTTTCTAAGAACCCAACAAATCTCATGATCATAGGAACATCCAAAGAAGATTATATGTTTAGTTCACAGAATCAGCTTCAATTACTATCCACAAACAAGTCGCCAAAAGTGCAGGGGCACAAAAACCAATTAAAACTTTGAGAGCAATTAGGAAAACACGCAAAAAGACACTATAAATAAGCAAAACAACAATGCTCAACTGAAAGCATGAGTTAGAAAAACGACTAAAAATTGATTGGTGAAGAAAATTTCATAGAACATGTCTAGTAAAATCAAGCAAGCTCCTCAATTACGCTAAGAAGCTTACGTTTCCACTAGGATTATTCGGGTTGGGGTCGAATTTCATCCTCGCCCTCCCACCTTGCGCTTCTACGCGCTTGATCTCCTCTACTAAATCCGGCGCCAGTCTTATGATCATAGCAAATGCTAAAGGATTGTTGCCAGAAACTAGGCTAAACGTCTCCTCCACCGCCGGTGGGTTACCCGGCGTCCCTCGGGTCGGGTTCCGGCCGCGAGGGCCGCCGGAAGAACCGCCAATCGAAGGGCGGCCTCCGCCGGGAGGGGCGGATCCCCGGTGGGACAGCAGCGGAAAAGTCGACTGCAGCCGCTTCGGGCCGCCGCCACGGCCGACCTTGGACGAGCCTCCATACATGTTACGTCACCGTTCCAATACCGAAGGTGCTCGAACCCGTTATGGCAACAGCAGCTCACGGCGCGACGAGAAGACCCAAAAGTGGGCATTACCTTGTTAGTACGTTTCTACGTATGACATTTGCAAAAATACTCCTCAACTTTTGACTATTTCTTCTTTTAACTGTCTCTCTATTGTGACCGGCGGCAAAAAATATGTGTGTGTGTGTGTGTACGAGTTGGAGGCAACTTTTGGATTGGTCCTCACTTCACTTAATTATAAATATCAATGTCAATGGCCATTATATCCATCCATCCTAAAAACATTATAAATTTTTGTTATAAATAGCCAATATATCCATCCGTCCGTTAATCCATTAAAATAAAAATTCTTTAACAAATGAGAAACGATAAATGAGAGATGGCTCTGAAAACATTCACCAAATAGAAGAAATTTTTATTATTAAAAAATGTAAGTAGGAGAAGTTAAAACATCATCAAACTCCTTTTTTAAAACTTCAATTCTGAACTCTTTCTCTATTTTAAACCTGTTTGTTTGAGCTTATTTTTTAAAAAAATTATTTTTCTTACAAAAATTATTATATTTTGTGAATATTCATAACTTTTTAAAATTCAACGAACTTAATCACCACTTTTGTGAATCATTTTAATTTAAATTCTCCTCCATTCACGTTCATGAATAGAGTTATAAATACAGTAACATTTATATTCACCAAATATATCAAGATTCATTGACTTTTAAAAAAGTACATAATAATAGTTTTATAGATACAATATAATTCATGTGTTGTTGTTGTTGTTATTTAATAATTGGAGGTTGTAAGTAGAAGTTCACCTTATGGTCTTCAACATATATGAATCAAATTAAATGAGAGGATTTTTCCCCCTTTCTCCTCTCTATTTTTGTGTCTTGTTCTTATTATGTTATATTTCCATTAGTTTTATTTTATAATAACAGCTCTTGTAAAATTTTAAAATTTTGTTTAAACTTTTAGAAATAATTAGAATATAAAATAAAAGGTTTCTTGTTAATTTTTTATCTGAAATTTTCTTATTATTTTTAAGTTTTATTTTGAGTAGGTTCTAAAAATAATTAAATAAAATAGGTGAAAGAGAGTATTAGAAAGATAAGAAGATATATGAAGATATCATAAAATACTTAAAGACATTATAGAATCTGCAAATGACTAACTTTATTTTATTAGGATTGTAACAAAACATGAAATAATATTTATTTTATCTTTATAAAATCTCTATGCAATAAATCACTTCTTTAAACTATCTAAAAAATATTTATTTTTTTAAAATCGGACAAAATGAATAACATTTAGTGGCTTCATATTTATCGCTTTTTTTATTGTTGTTTTCAATACAACTGAATTCTTACCTTGCGGCCCTCCTACTGTAAATGGTGATATTTATAGTTTATAATTTGAGCTTACTTTGACTCCCCTAATTTAATCCTATTATAAATTTTAAATTATAGATTCTAGACTTTAAACAATAAACGTAATTCAACTAACATTATTTATGACTGAGTGGCTTCATATTTATCGCTTTTTTTGTTGTTGTTTTCAATACAACTGAATTCTTACCTTGCGGCCCTCCTACTGTAAATGGTGATATTCATAGTTTATAATTATAAATTATAAACACCGAAAGAACGAAGAGCATGATAAATAATGATGATCTTTATAATTATAAATAATAAATACTCACCATTTTCCTTTTGGTGTTGAATTAGAAGCAGCAAATTAGGCTCAATGGACGCGCTTGGGGATTCATGCCATTGTTACCTTCACGACTTTTCTCCGACTCAATCTGACTCCGTAGTGGGTCCTACTGTCTACTTTTGTTGACTCGACATAATTAACTCATGATTTTTATGACATATTGCTGTTATAATTAAAATGGAAGTGTAAATCATATCATAAATGTTGTCTATAAAGATGGTTGTTCCATTGTTGATTTTCTTTTGAGATGTTCTCTATGAGAATACTGCATTTCTTTAAAAATTATATGCTTCCTTTTCCAACAAACACCATATGCTATATAACTATTGTAGTTTTTTAAAATATATCTTCTGATTTTAGTCAAATATGTGAAGTTCTAAAATTATATTATCTAACAAAAAGATGTAAAAAAAAATTATAAAAGGAGTCAAGAGAAGGTGAGCCTGGAGGGTGTTCATTGGAGTCCCAATCTTGATCAATCATCTTCATAATGATCATGGAAGGATGATTTTAACTTGACTTAAAAAAATTGAAAATGAACTAGTCAAAATTACACTTAAAACAAGACACAACATGGTCCAGTTTATAGATGTTGTGTCACAAATAGATAATAATTTTACTATCTTTTTATGAGTTGTGTTGATTTCATGTTAAAAAAAAAATGAAAGAAGTGTAGTTGATTGCTCAAAATTTGAAAATGTAGATATCATCATAAAAAATTAGTTGCTTAATTTCACTTTTCTATAGCTCTCTTCCATTTTCTATTTTTTTCATCGAAATTTCTTATACATATCTTATGCAATATTAAAATAAGATGAGATAGGGTTATTTCAATGTTGATCCCAATTCTAATCTCATCACATCCCATGAACTCTCCTATATGAGACATTGATTGTCTATAAGGAGGTGAAAAAGAGGAAAGGAGGTGTTAGGACTTAGTTTGAAAAAGAGAATGGCAATGTGAAGAAAAAGAGATGCATGTAAAGCAGTGACTAGCAAGGAATTTGAGGAAAAATAAAGAAGCAAGAGACCAACTTATGAAAATGGAGATGGATAATGATTTCTCAAGTGAATATAGTAAAATACTCATAATTAAAATTTAAGAGTAGAATATCAACTAAAATTAGTGCAAGTAGTAGCTACTCTCTTATTTAAACAAGTGATTGGAGGTTCAAGCTCAGCCCTTATGTATATAAAAATTTAATTGAGAGATATCTACCCATTGCTCTTAGTATCTCGAAGAAAATATTTTTTGTTATCAGTGAAGCCTACTCTTTATACTTACTAAATAAGAATTTAAGAGTAGAGTCATGGTTCACCAGAATATAAAATAAAATTATAACAAATATCAAAGATAATGTGTACAAAACATGTACATACATTTAATGCAAAACAATACCAATTACTCAAGCAATAGACAAGTGTGAAAGAAAAAATATAAAAGTAAAAAAAACAAATAAATAATATATCTTGAGCTATAATAAATTACGAGGATGACTATGAAAAATATAAGCGAAGGTTTTAGGAGACGAGATATCACCTTAGCCTTCTCTATCGTCATCTCTGATATTTGTGAAATTATAAAAGTTACACGAACTTGGCTGTGGTTTAAGAGAAAAACGAAGAGCCTTATTTATACGGTCTTCGTGACTCAATCTACTGAGAAATCAAGGTCCATTGTTTTTCTCTAACATTCATGAATCTAATTAATGGGATCATTAAGTGGATAACCTTTAATGTACTAAATTCGATCCCTAAATACATTAAAGCATGCAATAATTTTGAATGATAGATATCCTAATATTGAATTAATATAGAATATAGAATATAGAATATAGATACAGATACATAGACACATGACTTTGGCCAAGTATTTCATAATCGGTGATTATAGCTATGACTTTTTGTATTTTTCCCATATTTATCTTGATTCTACGTCGTGCCTTTTAGTTTTGACTATGCATCATGATAAATGGCTAGGGAAAAGGCATCATCGTGTGAATCATTATAATAATTAATTATTAATATATTGAAATTAATTAATTATTAATAACTACAAACTACATCTTTCATTTAGACAAGGGTGGAACCAGACTTGAGATCTAATGGGGGCCAAAATTTTTAATTTAATAAATCTTATTAATTTAAATATTTTAAAACTAACTAATTAAATAATAACATAAAAAATTTAAATATTTAAACTCATGCACACGATTTTTTTTTTTATCAAAATCAGATGATTTTTTAAGCCACCACTTTTACCTTATAACTACTCTTGTTATTGATATTTTTGACTTTTTTTAAATTTAAAGTCCAATTGTTCTAATTTGATTGAAAAAAAAAGATATAAATATTTTAATAAACTAACAAATGTTATATTTTGTATAATATATGTCATATATAATAAGTATGTTATATACAAAACGGTCTATTTCGCATAAGTATATTTTGTGCGCGCGCATGTGATTCTGTGCACAGGCGTGCATCAAATCAGTGAGTGTTGGTGTTTTAACGGGAATTGCGTTCACCGCTTGCTCATTAAAATCAAGAACAATTTTGGCATTCCATTTTAGCTTTATTTAATTCTTATCGTCCATTGAGAATAATTTTTAAATATTTTTAATATTATATTTATTAATATATAAATATAAAAATTTTAAAATTTTAATACATCTGTTTAATATCAATCTGGTCGGTAGAGGTTTAATTTAGCAATTTAATTTAATATTAAAATTTTTATAATTTTACAATTTAACTATATAAATAGATTCTGTATAATTCAGATATAATTTTTATGACTTAATTTAATATTAGAAAATTTATAAATTTTACATATTAATTATTTAAATGTATTCTAAATAGTTCAGATTTAATATTAATTTTTTATATTTTTTATCTTAATAAATATAATATTAAAAATATTTAAAAATTAATTTAAATAGACAATATAGATCAAATAAGATTGAAATTGAGAGTTATGATTGCTCCTGGCCAATGATGAGCATCGAATGCAGATGCTACTTCAACATTACATTCATATAGGAAAGGGGTGGAACTCTTAGCGCCCCTCAACATCAGCATAGTTCCACCCCTGTATTCAGACACAGACACCGATGTCTTGTTAAATTTGCATAATTATGTTTGGATTAAAGATTATTTCTCTTCCTAACCTATATTAAAGGATGAGGTAATATTTTTTTCAATAATTCGTTCGTGAGCAAAATTGTTATCTTGTCAAAAACCATATCTTCTTTGTTATTTATTGACATATAATAATTGTGGGGCTTATATATAGTGACAACAAGGCATTCTGACTCATTTGAATTGTCAATTACAAGTTACAAATTTTAAATCTTATAAACATTATAAAAA